GATGAAGTCAAGTAAGGCGCTGGCGATCATCTGTCTCGCGATGGACGATTCGCAGTTGCCACTGGTGCGCTCGGCGGAGAATGCGTATGATGCATGGTCACGTCTGGAGGGACACTACGAGAAGAAGAGCTTGGCTAATTAGCTCTTTCTTCGTCGCCGTTTCTTTACGACAATGATGAGAGAAGGTGATGACGTGCTAGAGCACATCAACAAGCTTAAGACCCTGGCGGAGCAACTCGACGCGGTTGGTGCTCTGGTCAGCGAAGACGACTTGGTCATCACTCTTTTAGCCAGTCTCAGCAAGTCCTATCATTTCCTAATAACGGCGCTGGAGTCAAAATCCTACATGCTGACATGGGATTTAGTGACGTCTCGGCTGATGCATAAAGACCTGAAGCGCAAGTAGCAAGGTGGCGGAGTCGATGGATCTGTGCATGGGCAAGCTCAAGCGTTCATGTCAAGAGACAACAAGCGAAACGGACGACCAGGTAAGAAGACTGGTGCGTGCCACAATTGTGGAAAACAAGGACATTAAATCGCGGAGTACCCCTCGCGGATCCAAGAAGACGCGGAACGACATCGATTCCAGTGTGCGAACGTGGCGCAAGATGAAGATCTTGGCGACTATCTATTTTCGGCAGGTGGTTAAGTCGCCAAGTCGAGTAACGAGTGGCTGGTCGACTCGGGTGCGACGCAGCACATGACGAGTTCCAAAAAGTTCATAAAGAGCTACAAAAGGTCTTCAATCCGGTCGATGTGCACTTGGAAGACGATAATGTCGTTCAAGCGATCAGAAAAGGCGACATCGTGATGACAATGAAGACGCCACGCGGTACCAAGAAAGGTGTGCTCACAGACGTGTGGCATGTTCCCATGCTATCACGTAATCTGTTCTCCGTGGGTAGAACCACCAAGGACGTCGGGCCAGTCACCTTTGATATCAACTGATACTTTGCGGAGACGAAAGGTGTCAAGTGGAAGCTCGGTGCTCGCGAAGGCAAAGGGCTTGTTAAAGCTCTGCATGACGCCAGAATCGTATAACAAGGCAAACGTGTCAAGTTAGAATGATTGTAAAAGAGGTACCGGGTCGTATCTCTGGCATCTTCGGCTTGGTCACATCGGCCACGGAGGACTTGACGCCATCGTCGAGAAAGGTTATAAAACCGGCATTGACTTGGCCTCGGTGAAAAAATGGGAGACTTGCAGCGGGTGTGCACTCGGCAAGCAAACGCGAGTGAGCTGTATGTCAAACTCTCCTGAACAAGCAAAGAAGTTGCTGGAGGTCATTCACAGTGATGTGTGTGGTCCCACGCAACCCCTACCTACAGTGGCAAACGTTATTCTGTTACATTTATCGACGAATACTCACACTATTGTGTGGTATTTCTGCTCAAGAACAAGTCTGAAGTGGCGACCAAATTTGCAAAATTCGTCGCGTGGGCAGAAAACCAGACTGGCAAGCGCGTGAAGCTTCTTCGTTGTGACAATGGTGGCGAATACACCTCCGGTGTAATGTCCAAGCTGTGTGTGGAACGTGTCATTGTGCAGAAATTTACGCCACCGTACACTCCTCAACTGAACGGTGTTGCCTAAAGGATGAATAGTACATTGGTGGAAAGTGCCCGCTGCATGATGGAACATGCTGGGCTGGCGAAATCGTATTGGGGAGAAGCAGTCATGACTGCCAACTTCTTGCGCAATCGCTGCCCAACCCGTGCCACACGTCATGACGAGTCACCACATCAAGCTTGGACCGGAAAGAAACCTTTTCTTGCGAATTTGAAGGTGTTCGTGTGTCATGCGTATGTGCATGTTCCAAAGGACAGCGGTCCAAGTTCGACGCTCGATCAATACACTGTCGGTTCATGGGGATATGCAGATCATGAGAAAGCGTATAGATTTGAAGAGATCAAGAGTGGTCGTGTGCTGGTCAGCCGCGACGCACGGTTTATGGAAGAGTGGAAGACGTGACTACGTTCAAGACGAAGTAGTTCTAGAAGACGAAGAAGGTTCAACGGATGAAGACTCATCGTGTTCCAACAAAGAAGAAGAAGAAAACGTGAAGGATAAAGACGTCGAAACTGGAAGCAAGCGACATCAACGCACACGATCACTGGAAGAAGCGGTCGATATTCCAAGGGAAAAACGGCCAAGTCGGTTATCAAGGATTGGTCGAGACATCTGCGGTGGCTCAAGAAAGTCATGACTTTGAAGCTGCCTACGTCATGGATTCAGTGGGAGAATTGCCAACGACGTTCAAATCGGCGATGGATACCAGTGACGCAGTCAAGTGGAAAGAAGCGTGCGACTCAGAAATGAAGTCTCTTCGCAAGACCAAGACCTGGAATCTCGTACCACTATTAAAAGGCCGTAAAGCAATCGGTAATCGATAGGTCTTTCGAGTCAAGGAGAATCAGGCGGGGGAAGTCGAACGATTCAAAGCGCGCTTGGTGGCCAACGGTTTTTCTCAGAAGCGTGGTATTGACTACGATGAGACCTTTGCGCCCTTGGTCAAGTTAACGTCAATCAGGATTTTGTTCATCCTGGCAGCCAAGTATAGCTTGTCGGTACACCAAATGGATGTCAAGAAGGCGTTTCTTAATGGACTCCTGGACGAAGACATTTACATGGTGCAGCCGGACGGTCACGTCGATGAAGATCACCCGGACTTTGATTGTCAGCTCAAGTGCTCCCTGTACGGTCTAAGGCAGTCACCACTGATGTGGAACCAAACCATCGACAAGTTTATGCTGGAACTGGATTTTTAGAAATGTGAAACGGATCACTGCATCTATGTCAAGCGAGCCGATCAAGACATGATATTCGTGGCACTATACGTCGACGATTTGGTTCTCGCGAGCAACAACGACGAGCTGCTCAAGTCAACAAAGAAGGCGCTGAGTGATCGTTTTGACATGACGGATTTAAGAAAACCTCAAGTATTTTCTCGGTATGGAAGTTAATCAAGATTTCATGGTCGGCACAATCTCGATTCGTCAGTCCAAATTTGCGAAAGACATCCTCGAGAAATTTGGCATGGAACATAGCAATCCAGATAAGACTCCACAAGAACCCGGGCTAAAGTTGACAAGTTCAATGTGCGAAGGAGGATGCAAGAACGAAGACACGATGGCAAATGTTCCATATCGCAATGCTGTTGGATGCCTGATGTACATCATGGTAGGGACTCGCCCGGATCTCGCAGCTGCAGTGGGAGTGCTGAGCTAGTTTGCAGCGTACCCTTGTCCGACACATTGGCAAGCACTCAAGCGCGTGTTCAGGTACATTCAAAGCACACAAACCCATGGGATGAAATCAAGCCACAAGCAATGACAAGCTTCAAGGCTACTCTGATGCAGACTGGGCTGGTGATGTGGAAACTCGACGAAGCACGAGTGGTACGCGTTCCTGATGAACAATGGGTGTATCAGCTGAAGAAGCAAGAAACAGTGTACAGTGGCTCTATCGTCTACGGAAGCCGAGTACATGGCGTTGACAGAAGCCACACAAGAAGCAGTATGGCTCAAGGCATTTTTGTGTGAGCTTGGTGAGATGAAGAACGCGAAGCAGTCAAGATCTATGAAGATAACAAAGGTTCCATTGCGCTGGCCAAGAAACCCGAGTTCCATAAAAGAACAAAGCATATCATCGTGCGCAAGAAGGTTGCAGAAGGCCAAGTGTTGCTACAGTACTGCGCTACAAAGAACATGAAAGCAGACCTCATGACGAAGCCGATTCTTGCTGCGCAGTTCTAACATCTTCGAAGCATGTTGGGGATCAAGACATCAAGGTCTGCCGAGTCGAGTGGGAGGGTTGTTGAAGGTGCGCCTCGGCCAGAAAACGCTGCACTAATTGTACGGTCTGATTAGTCAGGTGTGCGCCTATCCCACTAGTAATACCACTAGCGCGGATTACTCATGAGTGAATATCTGATGAGTCATGTGCATAGAGTAGATTACCCATGGGCCCACATGAGTAATACCAGTAGTGTGGATACTCATGTGCGACCATCTGATGAGTAACGTGTATAGAGTAGATAACGCATGCGCGACTATACGATTAGTAATGCGCGATATAGCGATTAGGATCGTGTAGTCGAAGAAACCAGTAACCTTAGAGTAGCAACAAAGTTTGTGAACTAAGAACCTAAATATATATTCACTTTGCATTATACCAGCTTTGATCAACTCCTTTACTCTCGGCTAGAATACTCAGCTTCAGGCGGAAGAAGCATGCTATTGTGTGACGCCATCAGTTGTGATGGCGTGGATGTAAATAGCTAGGACGTAAGGAGTGAATTTATGTATAAATTCCTAAAATGAAAAGGGTGTGAATGTAGGAAAATAGTGTGAATATAGCAGTATCCTCTTTGGATTGACATATAAACTCCTAAAAATAAAGAGGTGGTGAATTGAGCAATTCCCTTTTTTTATCGTCAATATAGATATATTTTACTAATATAAAATGTTATTTTTTAATTTTATATGTTGGAAGAATTATAAAATTGTTTTGTACTGTATAGGGTTACAAAAAAGTACACCCGGAATTAGATCTGGAACAGTACCCTTTCAAGGTATCAGCGAGTCTTCCGGCTACCGACCCCGCGGTGTATTGCTATACCACTCACTTCGGGACCGGGAGGTCACGGGTTCGATACCCACGGCCGACAAATCCTCAAGTATAATGGAGGTGGGCTTGAATTGCGCATCCGTGTACTAGGTGCGTCGCCGTTAAAATACGTACCAATCCAATTGGAAGGACAAGCCTGGTGAAATATCATCAGTGAGTCATCGGCTTATGGTACAATTCTTAGTACAGAAAAACTTGCCTAAAATGATACTCTTTGCTTCTATCTGTTAAGACAAGTTATCGATTACAGAAGTATTTCGGTTCTAGTGTTTCGCAGTCAAAAGATATACCACGTTAGTATCACTTTCGGCAAGTGTTTCTGTAGATAAGTGGCTTATTAATGGCATTTCGTTATCACCTCCACTGTAGGTCTACGAAAGGAAGGTCTCGCACAACGCCGAGCCGCTGCGGTCCACAGGCGGCAAAAGGCCGTTTTGCAGCAGCTCAAGTTCATTTTCCAAGACGCTTTGGTCGCCGTAAAGCTGTCGCTCGTTGGCAATTAGTTGCTCCATGAATCCTCTATTAGGAAAAATGAGTGGTCGGCATTTTAGCACGTGACTGTAAGCAGCCGACAGTGTGCACTTGGTCTTGAGCATCATATAATAAATGCATATCGTGGACGAGCGCGAGACGCCTTGGACGCAGTGGATAAGTACGCGCCCATTACCTTCTGCTGCCTTCTGGATGAACTCAATGGTAGGGCCAAACTCCTGTGTAATGTCCACGTCCACGTTGTCCTTAATTGCAACATCGAGGTATTCGACGTGCTCGAACTTGTTACGGTGATCAGTAATTGCACCCATGTTAGCCACATGCGTAATCTGCAAGGACTTGATGACCTCGGCTGAATTGGCTTGCCAAAAGTTGCCCAGATAGAGAAACCCGTCCACAATTTCGTTCGGGAAATGCATCGCCGAGGTAGGACTACAAATTGCCGTCTCCATTGTAGAATGAGGTACTTCTTCTTCACGGCTCAGTGTAGCTTTTTTGAAAGGTATCACTGTAGGAGACGATACCAACATAAAGTTGTACTTCTTGACAAAGGCCTGAAATCCCTGTGCCAAGAACCGTACTGAAAAAACACGACCCTCATCCAGAAGCATTCTAGCAAAGCGGTAACCCCAGTCCATTCGGTACAAGAACGATGCGCTTGTGTGGTTAGCTCCAATGACCACTACTTCAATGAGGTCTCTCTTCGCCAATTTCTCGCGCAGCATTTTGTTCTCCGTAAGCTCCAGTACGTCGTCCACTGTCTTGACCACTTGTCCTACACAGCCAAGTGCTAATAGATGCGAGCCCGTGTACAAGTGAGGGCAATGTAGAGCATCCGGGAGATGACATGACGAGAACTCGAGACCTTTGCGGCAGTCTACGAGCACAACTCCGGAAGTCTGTAGGCGGTTGTAGAGTGACGTGACAGAGATGAGCGGCAATCGAGCATGTGAATTGCGCAGTCGCCTCCTCCGTAGCCGCCGAGATGCAGCTGACAGGCAGGAGGAACTTCGTGACAGCAAGGACTCGACTTCAGGCACGCGCTCGGCAGAGCCATTTGAGCATGTGGAGACCTCGCTACCTGAGGCGTTGTAAGTCTTTTGCTGCTTCTTTAGGTCCCGCTGATGCATTTGTTGTTGCTCGTCTCGTGTCATACTTTACGAATATCTTATGATCCAGGATAGAATTGTTGCAGGGACCAAGTCAATTGCCAATTAACCTTCGTCGTCAACGCGTCATTTCCTGTCCTAGGAAGGGGCAGAAGGTCCTACAATTGACGTAGTATTGGATGATAATCTCGGCGATAGAAGCCATTCCAAAGATATGTGTTGTCGCAGGAATAAAGTCAGCGAAGAAAGCCGCATCTTTTTTTCTAGCCTTCAGTTTGTGGTCCAGATCGGTAGTACTGACACTAACCTCAGTAGATTGTGGACGACAACGGCTACCGTTAAAGTTAATGGGCGAGCGCCTGCTGCGCAGAAGAAATCCTAATTACTCATATGCCCGTGGCAATGTCGACCGTCTGGTAGCTGGTGAGACTCAGGTTTGATTGCATTGGGTGTAAGTGCGGAGCCATCCTAGCCACATGTCCGACTGCACGTCAGTACTGAGACTGTATCCGTGCACCAACTGCACGCTGGACAGGGTAACTTCCTGGACTGGCGAAAGCTTTGGCTTATATTAGCTAATTCTTCTGGCAACGATCACCGCTTAAACTACCGACTACATCAGTGCTCTAGTGAAAGACACACTGTAGGTCACTCTTAGTCAACGTTGACTTCGTAGGAAGAAATCATTTTACCGCAAGAAGGTGCCTTATCACGACGACCCTGACACGAATTTGACGTTTTCCGAGACCAGAATTTGTCAAAGCAGCGAGAACGACGGTATTGGAGCTATATCCTTGGAAACCACGACTAGCTATGACCGAGTCTTGACCATGTCGAGTGGACGTGTTGAAACAGTTGCGAAGACCTTAGCTAGCACGGCCGAGGTCAGAGTGACTGACACTCGCTTCCTCTATGCGTCCATAATTGCAATGACAAGACTGAAAATTCGGAATATTCCTGCCAAACGTGGTGCCAAGTCCGGCAAATAGCTGCCGTGCGCCTTTTTGCCAAACTTGCGCACGTATATCGCGAGCAGGTGCGCATCGTTGACAGCTTGCATCTGCATGCGGATGGGAAAGTTTTTGTAGGAAGAGTATTGTAGCGGCGGCTACGCGGGCCACGCTTCCCGTAATTTCTGCTCAAGAATTAATTGTATGTCGCGCGGTACCTCAAGGGCACCGAGACGCCTAAGCTTGAGATGGCGCCGGCGCGAATGAGTCGTGACGCGCTGCAGCTCGAAGCCTACAGTGACGCCGACTTCGCAGCTGACAAAAAAGCGTACCGAAAGTCGCTAACATAGGTGTGGTGCTCCTCAATGGGATGGCAGCGTCATGCCTTCGTGGAGGGATGACAGTCAATACTTATGACGATTTGCAATACGATCGGATGCTACACGAGATCTAACTGAAGCAATAAATTATCAGCTTAGCTAACCCATTTTTGTGCGGCAGGAGATAGATAGGCGCCTGTACATGCAAGCGCATCTTGTCGCTGCAGATAAACAAATCGCCCCCTGATGTATGTATGTATGTAAACGCATTACGAGAGGGAAGCTAAGCCACTTTAGTGGCTCAACTTCCGCATGCGTCGAGTTATCTCTCATTCTCTACAGTTCTCGCTTCTCTCGGCCAGGGTCCATTAAGCGGCGCCTGAGCTAGTATCATGCTAGCTCAAGCCTTTCGGAAGGCCGTTACCCCAACCCGACCAGGATAACTAACGCCCCTTGCTCTTGCTTAAATACACTTATGCAATTATGATTACGAGCCATTGAATCATAAAGGATGCGTTTTGGAATCACAAAAGACATTTTTGTCCAATCCGAAACCATTGTCCGTACCTTTTAGTAGAAAACTCCTCACCAATTTCTCCGCATATACTTGTTTGTAAGAAACTAAATAAAAACCAGAAATCAACGCAGAAAAACTGATAGTGCAAAGAAAAAAAGAACTGCTCGCTCATCATGATGGAACCGTCAGTCTCTACGACCGCAGCGTTCTCTGCTGCGGCCTTAGCCCCTAAAGGAAACGAAGGAGAAGAAGCTGCTGCTGGAAATCCGGAAACGTCCCACGCTTCGGAGATGTTACGCCAGATTTCGATGCAGTTCAAGTCGCAGCTGTCTCAAGTGCAGATGCCCAGCGCTATTAAGGAACATACGGATGAGCTGGAACGACGCATTTCCGGCACTGATATTGCACGTATTAATGGCTACATGCGATTGGTCAATCTCGTGTTTGCTGGTGGTCTGTGGGCCACGTGCTTCATCCGCATGTTTCAAGTGCCCAGCTACTCCCACTTCCTCGTCATCATCTACATTATGTACGTTGGCTGTTACCTTGTCAATGGCTCAAGTGATTGGTTGCTAATGTGTGTGTGTGTGATTTATATTGCGGCTGTAGGTTTTTGAGTGCGGGACTTGCCTTTGTTGAGAATCATGAGCGATTCCCGTCGATTGCAGACCGCATCAAGATCAACTTTGGTTTCATGTTCTCGGCTACAGGCAAGGCGTCTTATATTCTTTGGTGCGTCTTTACGAGCTACAAGTGTGTTCATTGGTTGATTATTGTTGCTGACGTGACATATTGCGTGGAATTGTTGTCATTACGTAGCATTGCGTTCCTCGCCGTCTCTCAGGGCTGGATCGGCTGGATAATCGGCATATGCTTTTTCTTTCTGGCTTTCTTCAACTTCTTCCTTATCAACCGGGTATGTATGACTCGTAAGGATTTTTGAACGGATTCTTGCCCCTCTCACGGCTTTTGTGGCTTTGTGTTGATTTGTTATCTTCAGCACCCTGCATACAAGGCCACCATGATGCAGCCGACGAGTAGTGCGGCCACTACGGCTCAACAGGAGGAGGAGGCAGACCTGGAGGCTATGCCGGAGCTCCGCTATAACCAAAAGCAGGCCAAGGTTCCCGTATCTGGAACATCAACTGCTGCTATGGCGGAGTCTTCGCACGTGTCGGTCTAACAAGTACGAGAAGTCTGCATTGACGTTAGGAATCGAAAGTGAGCGCTAAGCTGCATGGTTATGTATCGGCTTTTATATTCATCATCTCGTTGCATTTCGACGTGTTTGTTACGATGTGCCTAAAGCCAAGGTAGGACACGGTGGCCACTTTGCACTCTCATGAGTTATGTATGGGCTGCTTAACATCAGGTGCTGGCTGTGAGTCGGACTTCCACTGACCGCTTTTTTTACCCTTGTTTTCATCGTCGGGCTCCCAGTGACTGATTTCAACGTGCATACTTCACTCCTTGGCCTCACCGCCGTGCTGGGACACGACGCCGTTGCCATGGTACTTAAGAGTCTTCACCCAGTTGCTGCGACGGCCAGTGGGGTGCTTGAACTGCACAGCCGACTTCTTTCCCTTCATCTTAATGAGCGTCTCAATCTTCTCCGGCAGGAAGTTGTGCGAGTATGAGATCTTGCCATTGTAGTCACCGGCCGGGGCAGGCTCAGACACCTCCAGCTCCCATCCTTGCTTCTTAGCAAAGCGCTCAGCTTCCTCCTGGGTGTCAAACTTGGTCACAAGGCCCACGTACGGGTCAGCTGTACTGGTCCATCCCATGAGAGGGTTCTCCCACGTACGTGGGGATTCAAAGCGAATCTCCCAGTGTTTGGTCTGGTGAATCCCACTCTGCATCTGATTGCGCGCTGGCTTCAAAAGCGTAGCCTTGCGGCCCACAGACCACTCCCCCGTACCGGACACGATAGCGGCCTCTTCTGGGTACGGCATCGGCGACTTTTCGATATTCGGGAAGCACTCTTCCGTCGCGTGGAACGGCAAAACTATAGCGCCAAACGAGAGAATCACAGTTAAGTCTCCCTTATATATCATTGCAATAAAGAAGGCACAAGTGCAATACAAACGCACTGGTACGCTCGGCTTTAGCAATCTGCTGCTCGCGTAACTTTGTCATGAGAGTCTCCTCAGCGGCCGCAGCTTTAACGGCCTCGTCATCTTTTACCACTTCCGAAAAGGAGCGAAAAAAAGTGCCGATAACTGCATGCTTGGTTGACAAAATCGCAGGGGTGCGCGTAGATGCTCGGAGCATACACGCAGACATATTGGCGGACTCGGTTTCTTCGACAGCGCTTTTCAGCCGCAAACTGATTGAATGTCTACAAATCGATATTTAGCTCTAAATATAGACATTTGAAACAGCAGAAGTGATCGCAAACAACAAATATGAAAGAGACTGCAATTAATTATGCGGTAAATGACTAGCAAATAGTCAACAACGTCTTCACGACAGCTCATGGCTATCCGACCTTCACAGAGCTGCTTAATGTTTTCAAGAAGCCGGAAGTTTAGCACACACACTCCAATTTTGCCAACTCTATCAGAAACTGCTCCACCTCCACCGTGTCGCGAAGAGAGTATGACGCCTTCGTCATCGGTAGCTCCTTCGTCATCGGCAGCTCCTTCGAGCCGCCCGGAAGATCAATTCTCACCGCATCGGGGTCTCGCACGATGATTGAAATGCCCTGACCGATTCCACGGCCATTCAACGCGTTGAAAGCGTCCTCGTCGCTCACGTCGTCACCCAGGTAAAAAGGTACAACATCCTCTGCATCCAGTCCCAACTCCGAGAGTATGTACATGACAGCACGACCCTTGTCCCAATCCACCTATATATTACATGCACAGGTCAGACGCTATAACAATGCCGGCAAAAGAACCAAATTAAAGCATACCCGAGGTCGCAGTTCAAACACCATCTTGCCCATTGTCTTGATGAGACTTGGGTGGTATGCCACATAGTCGTCTACAATCTGTTCAACGGCATTCTGTAGCCCCAAATCAACCTGACGAGTGGGGAAGCACAGACAGACAGTTGTGTTGGCTTCGACCGAAGGAGACACAATTTACAACCCAGGCAGGCATGATTCCAATCAACTTTCTCATTCATACAGCACTCACGTGGCGATAATGAACCGACAAAGCTAGTCCATTGTCTTCCAGCTCCGCACCGGCAATCTGCGCCATCTGCGCTGTCAAGTCACGCAGTGCCTGTTCCAGGTCGGGACGAAAGTGGTCAGCCACCTGGCAATTGATAGGACGTGCCTTGGTACCCTTGATATCGAAGCCATGGCTGCCAGCGTAGACGAGGTTGTCCAGCTGTACAAAGTTGTAGACCTTCTCCGTGGAGCGACCCGTGACAATTGCTGTGACAAACTTGGACGAGAGCTTTATAAGAGCAGTGCGCATGGCGTCCGTCATAAAAGCATGGTCAGGTACGTCTACAATAGGCGACAAGGTGCCGTCATAGTCGAGGAATACAACGGGGCGTTTGCCTATATAGACAATTGACAAAAGGTGACACATGAGCTTAAATTCCAATTACAACACTTGCAAGACGTGGCAATCATAAACATGTCGATCCATTTTCTTCAAACAACATTTCTATCCTCATCAAGCGATCATATTACCTGCAACTTTCTGTTTAATTGAATCAAGGTCTCGGAACGCATTGGTCGGGTGCAACATCAAGTATCAAGGTCTGCGGGCTCTAGACGAGTCGTGAGCTTGTATTCTCGATATGATGCCAATAGACTGACGCTGCCAACACGTGCGCGTTCTGCTACTGACTATGCAAACGCTTGAGGTTGTGCTGGTCGCTTGGCCGGAGTAGTTGAGAATGCTTGTAAACGGTGCAAGTCGTGGCCCTTGCCTTTGTAGCCAATCAGAGCCCGCCGTCGACTGTATATACCCTAGTGTTCGGTACTGTTCCATGGTCTTCGTATAGTAAAAGCAAATGTCTCGACCGTTCCCGTCAAAGTCCACGAAGAATCGTCCAGCGAAGAGTCGTGCCCACCAAGTGATTGAATCTTCCAAGAACGACGAAAAGAGCAATGATCACTTTGACTACAAGTTGGTCCACTGACTCAACATACCGTCCTTACATCGTTTTTGTTGTTTCTTGAAATGATAAATGCTTTGGTAGTAGAACTTACTCTGACTGGCATTTCGGCATCCTTTAAACCGAATTGGCCGTAATAGCGGCACTTGTTGCGCGCGTTCGACAGCGAGCTATTCGGGCACCAAAAGCTCGCAAGTCCTTAATAGTTGGCGAGAATTGCACTGCTGCTAAGGCAAGCCAGCCTTCTTTATACCTACCGCATCATCATCTGACAGCTTTGTACGTTTGTGTTTGCGGTGCACATCTGCACAAGAACCAAAATACCTTGCCTTTATCCTATGAGCTGTCAGCACGGGTCTTTTTGTCGCCGCTCGGCTCCTCCAGCTTCATTACCTGCTATCGAACCACTCGCTACGACACTCCCCGCTACATCGCTGGAAAGACGCACTGCCGTCTTTTCCGTTGCAGCGCTTTCATCTATAGAGGGGTCATGTACTTTGCATTCAGGAAAAAACTAACCACTTGACAGGGACAGCATTCAACTCCTGCACTATGTCGTCGAGATGCCCTCATGTGTCTAGTTTAGAATTTTACTCCCTTCTAGCGGAGTGCAGCGGTGCTGTCGCGTTGCAAGTTTACATAAAGATATCAATCACAATTTCGTTTTCACGCGCTATGGAAAGTAGAATCTAAAAAGTGGCGAGACGAATCGGAGCATTGTCAAGTCCATGAAGCTTTTCGTGCATTGAAAAGCGTCCAGTTATAGAATCTTATAGTGTCATTTTGGTCGATTGTACGTGAGACGGCTAATTCATAAGATTAATTCGTACCAGTAGTTAATTTGCAGTCTGCCCCCCCCCCTCCCGAGCATGTACATATATGTCTGATCTCGAATAGCCTTTTTGCTAGCATTGACATGATGGAAGACGAAAAGTGCTGTGTGTGTGTGGAGTGGCACCAGGCGGGTGGACACGGTATCAAGGTCACCTACAGCTGCGAACAATAAATTTCAGGGATTTGTTGCCTTGATTAACATTCGTTTTCTTGCTGTATCTAGCTCAAACGTAATGGATCATTTTTGTTCGATGGTTTCGCCCAATAAAAGCGACGCAGACTAAACGAGCATATATATTTTTTTCATATGATCCGGTCTTGAAATCGGAACCATTGCGGTATACTGAACGTCAGTATATTCGATAGCCGACCCTAGGACACAACGCCTCAGATCTACACCATAGACGACTTTGTCGGCGGCCTCGAACACGTCACACAACCAAACCAGCTTGACGTCAGTCACAACTCCAAGAAGATGCATACAGCGCAGGCTCTTGCGTCCATTCGGCGCTCCCGAACGTGCGAAAGTGAGGGCGGGAACTCTCGCGTACGCAAATTCCCAAGTGAACACACGTCGTTGCTTCCCAATACTAACAATCATAATGGCAGCAATGGCCATGTTAACGGCAACACTAGCTACCAAGCAGGAGTATCTTTGGGAACAAGTACCGCCGATAACGACGGCAATGACACGGCGCTTACGATCAAAGAGGACGCCTGGGCTATCTATGCAATGATCAAGGAACAGCCACTCAACCTTTTGCTACTTGCAGCACCATTGGCGATCTGGGCATCGTTTGGAGGCTGGAGTGAGCTTTGGATCTTTATCTTTAACTTTATCGTCATGATCCCGCTTGCCAATTTATTGGGTGAAGCTACGGAGTCACTGGCTTTCCACACGGGTGAGACAATCGGTGGACTCGTGAACGCTACATTTGGCAACGCCGTGGAAGTCATCGTCGCTCTTTTCGCACTCCAAGCGGGTGAGATCAGTGTAGTGCAAAGCTCTCTTATCGGCTCAGTGCTGTCCAATCTACTGCTCGTACTGGGATGTGCATTTATCGCCGGTGGTGTGCGAAACAAGGAGAACTCATTCAATGCCGTTGGTGCTAGCGCCAACTCGTCGCTGCTTATGTTGGCCAGCTTTGCCATGCTGCTACCCAGTTACATCTTCTACTTCTCGGACCACGACTCGGAGGAAATCCGTGTGGCCAACACACTCATATTGTCGCGCATCGCTGCCGCCTTCTTGCTCTTCATGTACTTGCAGCTGCTCTTCTTCCAGCTTAAGACGCACGCTGACTTTTTTGAAGACGAACACTGCGAATCCGAGGAGGTCGTGGCGCTATCCGCGCGAGCCAGCGCGACGGTGCTGCTTACAGCAACCCTGCTCGTAGCCATGTTCTCCGAGTTCCTCGTCGATTCCATTGACGGTTTTGCCGAGCAAATGCACTTGAGCAAGTCATTTATCGGCATCATCCTGTTGCCGGTCGTGGGAAACGCTGTGGAGCACGTGACGGCCGTCAAGGTGGCATTGAACAACAAAATGGAGCTCGCAATGGGCGTCGCAGTGGGATCAGCAACGCAGGTGTCTCTTTTTGTGGTTCCCGTTGTCGTGATCTCTGGCTGGTTCATGGACCGCGAAATGTCACTGGCATTCCCTCAATTCGAAATCCTCATCTATCTCATGTCGATCATTATCGTGTACGCCATTATTGCTGATGGCAAGTCCAATTGGCTCGAGGGCTCGATGCTACTCACTGCGTACGCGCTGGTGGCCACCTCCCTTGTATGGGTTGAAATTCCTACTGCACAATAAGGAGAGGTCGAAGCTCCATGTATCCAAACATCTAACACTAGCATAGTCTTATCGAATTACTGCTCTCTTTCAATCACGTTTAAGCTAACATGTTACACTTGTTAGTTCTGTATACTAGATACCACGTTGCTTCTATCACTTCTCTCTTGTGTTGACCTAATGCAGTACACGCGATGGGGTCGTTGGATCAGTGCGGCTCAACGAGGCAGTGCTCGAGGCGGCACGCAAATGATGCATTGGTCCGTCTTCAAGCTGGTATTCGGTATTGAAAGCTCGATGACGTGCGGCCGCGATGCACATGCAGCAAACGCGTTGGCGTTTGCTAACACCAATCAGCACTTCGACATCCTGCGGCTTGGAGCAAGAGCTGCACGTATGGTGGCAACATAAATAGCAGACGTACTTCTTTCGCAGTAGCGACTCCTTCATTAGCTTTCCACAGCCGGAGCATCTTTCATTGACAACGTTAGCAGCAGAATTAACAGTGTACGCGGCACCCAAGCGTCTCCGGATCGCAATCTTACAAACTTTTGGGACCAGATTGGCCAACTTTAACAAGGCGTGGGCCGTGGCCTCACATGCGGTTGCAGCTTTAAACGTGGCCTTCACAATTCCTTTGGCTTTCAATTTATCTAAAGCCATTGTGTGTGATCCGAAGTAAAAGACAGACGTCTGATGCAATTTCACTTGCTCCGATAGCAAGTAGCCAGCAAATACGTCTCCGCCAACAATGAGGCGCCCAGCTTGATCACATGTCAACGTCTGTAATATTCGGACCGCAGTGCGTGTCTTGTAGTTAAAGTCGATGTAGTCAAGAAATTCAACCGTCTTGGCACTGGAAACAAGCGGAATAGAGCCCAAAAACTGCATGCGCTTGATGGTCAAATGCGTGTTCATCGACGCCATGGGCACTTCGCGTAGTGTGAATGCATAAGAGAAAGCATCACCTGCAAGAGCCACCATGGTAGCATTAAAGTCGTCGCGATTGCGGCTGGAAAATACTTCCAAAAATTCATCGACACTGCAAGGCAGAGACGTAGATGCTGCAACATCGTAAACTCCTGGTGTTGACTTCCGGTCGAACACGCGTGTGCCTTGACCTTCCTTTCGTCCTTTCCATCCTGCAGTTGCAAACACGCATCGAGCGTGCTCCACTTTGTCACGGGCGTTTGTGGCTAGCGCCAATAGTATGTTATCTTCCTCCTTGCCATTCGTAAAACTGGTCGTGTCGAAAGTGGATCTGCATGAACTGCTGCTGGAACTAAAGTTCGAGTGCATTTTACGTGGTGAGGTCATCTGTGCTGGAACCGAGGAGCTTCGATAAATGATTTTGTCCGAGCCGGTGCTGAAACTGCTTTGACGAAGTGTCATTGAAGTAGATCAACAATTCCGAAGTGTGCAGTTGACAGTAGAATGACAAATGGCTGGTAAGAATGGTAAGACTCGGTTGAGAATGAAGCGTTTTAGCACACACGGTAAAGCGTATGTTTACTATCTGAGAACAAAGCCCTCGCGGCACTCGTCTTGAACAAAGCATGCGCATGCATTAGCTCGTGACCAGAACCAAAACGACGACGGGCCGGTGAATTTTTACCCTAATTAACAAAAAGCTCCTAGGTGTCTTGACTTGCCGGTGGTATCAATCGATTCTCATTGACCCCTGCCGATAAGGATACGTGTCGTGTCGATCGTGTATCAAGTCAAGTGCATCGTTCGAGGTGGAGGTACTCTTTGTCCTTTGTAGAAGCTGGCAACTGATGAGTGTGCGTGTATCGTCATTACTAGTTCTAACGGCACTTCTTCAGCATACCCCCTTTAGTAGTTGCTACGAGGTAGACGATGGCTGACTGGTGTGAATGCACTTTGGCAAACTCATAATGGTCACGCCCTTGGTCCGACCACTTTTAAAACATCAATGCTAGTCATAGGGGCTTTGCAACACACTGTGATTGCAGTGCATCTGAGCATGGACGAAGGTTTTTTCATCTGAAGTAGAGACTTGTTCCTAACGAAGGCTGCCGAAGCGTTGAGCATCTGAAAAGGTAGTACTTGAAGCAGATGCTCCTTTTGATAGCGTATACACTAAACGAAATAGGCACCAAACCATGTTTGGACTCACAAATTCTAGTACCATAGCTCAAAGAACTGAAAGTCCATGCAACTACTTGGCATGTGCGGTCCAATTTGCACCGGATGCATCATTAACTTGTACAGCTTATTTTGGGTAAAATGCGTATGCTGGGCAGCGTAGTAAACTATTATATCAAGTATAGTATTATACTACCGTAGTGGTAGAATTGTCGTGTTGCGTCTGTAAATGTAGAACACCTTCAAATTTAACCAATCAGATGTTGTCCATCAAATATTGATACGATAAAGACAACGCTATTCATGGCGCTAAGGGTGTGTTTCTTGGTACTTCTGCTGGCTATAGACTATAGTGCGTACGCTCGAAGCGTGTCAAATGACGACACTATGGATGAAGTAAAAGATAATGAGTACAAGGACGACTTCAACTTGGTTTCCAACTCGAACGTAGGTGTTTCTATATCTGATTGTATCAATTGCCTTCGTTTTGACTTGCTAAATGTTCCTACTGCTGCAGTTGGACGTTGTCAAGCACGAAGATCTGGTGGAAGTGGAATGTGACGGTTTGGAATGTGCAGCTGAGGTGAAGGACGTTAGCGCGGGCGTTCTTTCTGTCTGGGATCGAGGTCTCGTGACAACAAAACTCAACCCAACGCTCATCCTGCAGGAACATGCACAAACTGCCAGTAATGTCCTGAAAAACTTCAGAGGCGAGACACTCGGCTATGTGACACCATGGAACAGTCGAGGCTACGACATGGCCAAACGGTTTCGTACTAAGTTTACGTACATCTCGCCCGTATGGCTACAAGTGCGTGAAGACCCTGACCATGTACCGATCATCACAGGTACACACGACATCGACCGGCAGTGGGTTCAGGATATTAAAAATGGGGCTGAAGGGGAAAAAGTAGAGGAAGAAGGTCCTGCAGTGCTACCTCGTGTCGTCTATGAGCGCAACCATATCAGTGTGGAGGATGATCCGCTGATTATTTCCAAGTTGCTGACGTTGACGGATGAGCATGACTTTGATGGAATAGTGTTTGAGATTCCAGTGATGGAACGGACGTTGGATATGCTGCAGCAAATGGCTCGGGCCTTTCGAGCAGCGGATAAGTTGCTGATCCTTGTGTTGTCTAGAAGTTCAAAGGACGTAAGGCAATCGGTGATGGATCTTCCTTTTAGTTCGCTGCTAACTGGTCGTTGTGAATTTGATATTAGGGTGAGATGCCTGTGACGCACGAGCTTTTCAACAAGTTGGCACCGTTAGTGCACCGTTTTTCCATGAATGCGTATGATTTTAGTATACCAGGGCCAAACGCGCCCTATCCATGGCTGAAAAAGACGCTTGAGAAAATGTCGCCGATGGAGCGGCAACGAATACTAATGGGACTTCCGTTTTACGGCTATGATAATACTGGTAGGAAGTGGTGAAGGTGTTTGGATTAACGCTGGCTTTGCCGTATTAACAATGGTGTGTTGCTTCGTGTAGAGGCGATCACGGGAAGCTCTTACATTCAAGTGTTGAACGATAACGATGTGGCGAAAATTCGATGGGATGCAGCTGCACATGTACGACTACATGTAGTCCTAGTAATGTTTCCTATATATCTGACAAGCTTTCTGTATGGTTGGTTATTGTGTCGATGATCAAAGGAGTGTCAACACACGTACACTGCGGAAACGGGTAGCCGTCATGTTGTTTTCTTTCCATGTCTGCAATTCCTGCAAGACCGTTTGAAGCTATACAAGGCTTACGGTGTGGGGGTTGCGATTTGGGAGCTTGGACAAGGTATGTATATATGTTGTCATTTGTTTGGCGTCAAAGGAAATTGTGGATTCACACTTACTTACTGTTGCACAGGGCTCGATTTCTTTTACGACCTCCTGTAAAGGTCTAAGTGCAAACATGTACGCCACGGGAAATATAAATTGATCTTAGGGTGGTGTTGCGCCTGAATCTCCTCCTGTTGCCAAGAAAGATGGGATTGGGCCGGTAGTGTCTGGCCCTGGCCCCAGCCCTTCTCTGCGACTTTCGTCAACAAAATCTTTGAGCACCTTTCGCACGTCTGCTAATGAGTCCACTGCAAAAGAACAGGCATGACGGCCTCCGCTATGTTGCACATCTGGACCAACTACTACGGCAAACATTGCCACGTTTTCTGCAAGTTGCACTGGCACCTTTTGCAAGCGCCTGAAAGCTACTTTGTTGTCATCGTCGTCCAAATATTCGCCTACATCCAACTCGTCATCGTCGTCCGTTGAGTAGTCTTCGTGACCTCGCACAGTAGCGGCTGCAGCCCCTATCAACTGTCCACTTTGATTGCGCTTCTTCATTCCACCTTTCAGCTTTTTGATCGGCTCCAATTCATCCGTGATGCCACTACCAATTCTAGGTCTTGGCATGCGGGGTTTTGCCTTTGACACGTGAGCAGCGGATGGCACTGGTTGTGCATGTAACTGGGCGGGGATAGGATTGCCCATCGCTATTGAATTCCGGCGAATCCGTTCATTCACCGCCGCTTGCTCCTCTTTTCGTTTTCTTTCGTTGTGACGTTCATTAGACTCCACAACTAGGGTGTTCAACGTTTGAAACATTTGGTCATCGGTCACGTCGTCGCAAACGCACAGGACGAAATCAACTTCGTGGTTACTCTTCTTAGCAATCTGGTCAGGGAGCGACAAATGCTTCAGAATACCCTCAAGGACGCGAGTTTTCGTGCATCCCTCGTGCTCAACGCTGACGGACATATGCCCTTGGTAGACTTCCAGTGCTGTACCAATAAGCTGCCGCTCTAATCTGATCTGTAAGTCCTTTGCCTGCCAGCTGCCAAAATGGGGATCAGCGTCGCCATAGTGCCACGTCAATGAGCTCTCCTTGTCTTCAATATAGCTCCCTGGTGTTCTATCTGTAAACATCAGCATTGTCGGCAGCACTAAGTCCTTCCAAGACATATCATCTCCGTCAAATGAAGGCAGTCCGTCCGTCGGAGCAATACTTCCACCCGTGAGTGGTGCACCATCGCCAGTATCAGTTGGTCCCGGGGCAGAAGCATGCTGCGCATACGTCGGAAAACTGCCCATGCTCATATGCATCATGCTGTGAGCATCGCTTGAGTAAGAAGCATCCAAGCTACCACCATTTACACTACCCACTCCAGCCCCGGCGGTACTCCCTCCAGATCGGGTGGCTGCCACGTCGTACTGAAATTTGCTCATGGTTTTCCACCGCTCGCGCGTGTTACTCAGATTCATACGATAGAAGAAACCGTCCTCTGCTGCAACACCGACGCGCACGCCGTTCAACCAGGTCTCAAGGAATTTACGCTCACGGCCACTGACAATAAACACTGTGTTGCGCTCATCGGCAGTAAGTGCATCAAGTAGCGACTTGAAATTGGGTCCGACCGCAGCAAGTGGAAGAAGAGAGTGCTGTGGTATCAGAGTTCGATCATAATCCAAGATGATCACACGATTATGTGCGCTCCGATAGGCTTGCACAATATTCTTCTTGTCGAGCTTCGGTAGCTGAGTTGATGATTTACGATTTTTCTCTACAGCTTCACCAAGCTCTTGCAAAAACTGTTTCCCCCACGCTGTAGCAGTATTCGATGAAACATAGCGATAAAGCTTTTGCTGACGGATCTCGCGCTCGGTACGACACATACTCAAAGCTTGGTGAATACTCAGCGCTACATCTTCTGTATTCCATGGGTTAATGACCATCGCGCCACTTAGCGACTGCGAGCAGCCTGCAAACTCGCTCACTACCAGCACACCAGGTCCGCCATCTTCACCTTTCCAATCCGTCAGCACAGAAGCTGACGATTGCCGTGGAGACGAAATTGCAGAAAGCACTCCATCCTTCGTTGCATCTTCTCCAGCTACGATCGAGCTACCAACTTCTTCAGACTTTCCGACCATATGATCAGAGGTTGATCCGCCATCAGTCCTAACGCTACTGCTACTAGATCCTCCCGCGGCCGCACGAGCAGCTTTCTTACGTTCATCCTTGTTACGCATGAAATGTTGCTGGCAAACAATAAACTCGTGAGACACTAAATTCATTCCATCGCGCGTAGAGGTCACCAGACAAACATCAGCCAGATCGTAAAGCGCACATAATTCTTCATGCAAAGTCGCTTGTTGCTGGATAAAGTGAATCGGTGCGTAGTCCAGAGTGCCAAAAATGCCGTTGATACGCCCCACAATTTGGTTCACTTGAGTTACAATATTGTGATAGCTGTGCGAGCTCATTTCGAGTTGGTGGCAGGCGTCTTCCCCGAAATTACTGCCCTTTCCAGCTGCAACTGGACTCGCATCGATTGGCGGAGATTCTGACAGACCTTTAATTGGACTGTCACTACCAGCAGAGTTCCTCGTTCCAATAATCGGATACGAGGGTGATCGAGGAACTGCAGTTTTGTTCTCTCCACTTGAGTTGCTGACACTGGGTTGCCGAGTCTTGTCGTTTTTGCCGGTTGCGCCACTGGTCTTGCTGTCAACTACTTCAGAACGCGACGAGATGCCAATCTGCACTAATACGACATTGTGCTGCCACTCTGGAAAACGGTCTAGAAGCATTTCCATCGCGAGCATTTTATGCGGTATTCCTTTAATGTTATCAAGTCGATCAATTCCTAAAATGATGCGTTTCCCGCCAAATTTATCGTGCAATTCGTTCACTCGATTGAGCGTCGATAGACTGGATGCTGTTCGCGCAAATGGTTCCAGACTGATTCCAATAGGAAACACGCCAATCGATGTAAAATGTTCTCGATCAGCGAGAGTACTGCGGACGCCTTTGTGCGAACACTCGACGCCTAGAAGTCGATGACATGTTGACAGAAAATGACGTTCATAGTCAAAAGTCTGGAAGCCCAGAAGATCTGCCTGCAAAACTCCTGTCAGCAGCTGAGAACGCACAGGCAGACGACAGTATACGTCCGATGCTGGAAATGGCGTGTGCAAGAACCATCCAATCCGACACAGTGGGATACGTTGACGCAGCAGCGACGGCAGTAGCATCAGATGATAGTCATGTACCCACACAGAGTCTCCTTCATTGTATATCTCAGCAATCGCATCAGCAAAACTTTCATTTGCTGACTCATAAGCTCGCCAATCTTGTTTGTTGAATCGTTTTGTCGATTGAAAGCTCGAATTGTTTCCAGCAGTCAACATAAAGGGCGCAGGTTCTGAGACATAATGAAATAATGACCATAATACTTCTGATGAGAAGCCTGTATGTCTACAAGCGACTTCAGATGATAAAAACACCGGTAAACAATTATGCTGCAGTAGTAAGCGACGTACAGCCTCGTGCTCACTTTTGGGAATGTGTTGGCCTACCCATCCAACCCACAAAAAGCTCATCTCGGCTCGCACACCCGTTAAACACATGAGTTTATCTAAACCGCCTGTTGTTTTCGTGGCTTTCCATCGTCCAGTCTGCGGCTGACGTTCCAAAATCACGGGCAGATTATTAGACACGACGATAAGCTGATGGCCACCACTAGAGCTGACTGCTTTATCTGTCGTGTCTTTATCACTTTCTGCCTCTTCTTCAGCACGAAGTTGCATGAGCTGAAGCTGAAGCTCTTGGATATTGGCCAGAATTTCTTGCTCTTCTAGTGATAATGTATCGAGGCGACTGAGTTCAAGGTCTGCAGCGGCACGTTGAGATACAAAAAACTCGTTTCGTGGTGACAGCATGCCACTGGATGGCGGCGCGGACGGAGACGCGGTTGTTACGCGGAGCGAGGAAGAGTCTTCTTCCATCAAGGCGGTAAATTCAAAAATGAAGGTGACTTTTATTTTGCACTTCAACGCAATACTTTGTACAAGTCAAAAGGGATCTGACAGTTGGAAAGTGAATGACTATTGATGTGGTTTACATCATGCTGTTGTCCACTGTCTTCAACACGTCTTCTGAGATTGGCGAACATGACGTTCACTCTTGCACTTGAACTTGTAGTACCATATGTAATTAATGATAGTTGAAAGATGTCGCAATACATAATGATATGAGATGGAAACAGTAATTTAATCCGAATAAAGCCAGCGTACCGATAATCAAGATGATGATCCATATATTTGTAGACAAAAGGTGCCCCATCAATTGCTTGTAGGACATGAACGTGAGCTCAAAGGCAAAGACATGCAACGCTGTACATCCTATTCACCATCAACTTTATTGAACAATTGTAGAATCACTCATATCTCGTCAGTAGCACTATGACCAGGACAGGAATAAGTATCAGGAAGTGCCAGGAAGCGAGTAGCATCGTGTATGATGCTACTCGCTTCCTAACAGCAATACAAAGGTCCAAAAAACTTTATATAATCTATTAGAAGCGATGTTCTATCATCTAATTAGGTGTAAAGAAATATTACTCAACTAAATTAGCGCTGTTCTGAAGCAAGAGTCTCATTTGAAATAGGGTCTGTAAATACATTTTGGCCAATCACAAGCTCCATAACTACATGAAAACCGAAATGGAAGATAAAGCTACACATGTATCTGGTGGATCCAGTCGTGTCGATGACGAGAGTAATAGTCATGCAACTGCAATAGAAACGTCTTCAGCTTCATCTGTATCAAATCTAGCAGTGAATGTAGGTGTACCAAGTTTACTTGACTCACGGACACTCCCTCCTGTGATCGAGAGTGTCGACGAGACGGCGCCCCGCTATTTGCCACGAGAAGATGAATCCGCAGCGTCCACTTTGACATTCCGTGATGCTTTTGCCCGGTTACGTAAAACATCATCGTATGTCCTTCCTCCACCAGAGAAATCACAGGAGGAAAAAGCTCCAGTAAGAGACGCAGCTGCCATTGTGTATGTGAATCGACGACAGCAGGGCAATCCGATGCTCAAGGCCGTTCGCAATGTAGGACTTGAATTCCGAGACGGATTGATCTCGGACTATGTGATAGGGGAATCTTCCTGCTGCATCTTATTCTTAAGTGTGAGGTATCATCTACTGCATAATAGCTATTTGGAAGAACGCGTGCAGAGTGTACGAAAGGATGATCCAACACACTATAAAACGAAACTCGTCTTGTGTTTTGTCGATGTGGATGATAATGAGGTGGCATTACGTGAAATCAACCGCGTTGCCCTATTGAGTGGTTTTACGCTGGTACTGGCGTGGAGTTGGCTTGAAGCTGCGCGGTATCTGGAGACATTTAAGGCTTACGAGAACAAGTCAGCAACGATCATCAAGGAGAAAGTGGAGGCCGAGTTTTTGCCTAAGGCCAACGATGTACTCACGTCCATCCGATCGGTGAACAAGACGGATGTGGTTACATTGTTGTCCACGTTTGGGACAGTGAAAGGGCTCATGAATGCGTCCATGGAGGAACTCTCACTTTGTCCCGGTGTGGGCGCCAAGAAGGTGCGCCAGCTACTCGAGACTTTTCAAGAGCCTTTTACAAAGCAGTGAAATTTATCGCCTACGACTTGGACGCTCACATGTATTCAATATACTTTGCAGTCCAGTGCAAGGAAGCAAGATTGCGCAATGGAGCACTGTCAACAATAGCTGCATTGCAGCACAAGTGCAAGTTGCAGTAGTAGTGCTTGCTCATGTAGTATCGAAACCAAAATTTGCGAGTGCAAGAACGGTTCCCGTTTTGCTATCACCGCCAACCGATGGCCAGCAGCACTTGACGTAAAAATTAACTACTTTCCAGGACATTTTTCGCCACTATCACCACCAGCTGGATGCAGAAGAGCCAAAAGCAGTCCTTAGACGTCCTTACGGCATTCACTACATACATAGTAAGCCAGGCAGCAAGAAATCGTGTAACTATTAAATGAAAAATGCGCCGTTTTCTTATGAGCAGCATAAATGCATAAGGTCCTTACACGCGAGAAGAGACGTTGCTGATGCGTCCGGACTGGTTGCTCGCCTCAGCAGTGAAGCCAACTGCTTCGATAGCTGCCGCCAAGTCGCTATACTGTGCCGATCCAGAGACGTATGCGGCACGCTCATCGAACTGCACAATTGCATCGGTCACACCCGGCGTGTTTTTCAGCGCATTCTCTACCGTCGTGCCACAGTTCTTCATGCATGTCATGCCCTCGACTTGGATCCGCACCGTAGAAGCGTCCGTGAAGCGCCACGACCCACGCTCCTCGGTAATGTCCTGATCCAGATTTTTGAAGAGCAGGAAGCCGGCGCCAAAGCCGGCAATAAGGGCCAGAAACAGCCCCGTCTCGTAAGTCATGACTACGAGCATGACAAAGTACGCAATCGTCATCTGAATCATATATAGAACAGCAAGAGTCAGCTTGCACTGCATCTTGTGAACCTTGTCGTAGGGGCGGAGCTTCCGCGCCGCTAAAAGGCGTTGGCGCACAACCTCACGTCCCTTCACAAGCGTCTCGTTTAGTAGTGCAATGAGGAAACACCCGATAAATCCGAACGCGTACTTGACGCCGCTATTAAGCACCCACGGCTTGAAGAGTAACATTACACACGACCCGTGAATGGACGTCTGGAAACCGTTGAACATGACCGATCCCTGGCCCGTACAGAAGTCCGACGACGTGTCGTTTGACTTTGTGATACTGTTGCTCGAAGACGCCGCGGGTGCAGCAGTGGTACCGCTTGCAGTCACAATGGAATAGTCTGGCACGAATCGCTGCGCCGCAGGACTCAGTGTCGTAATGGTAGTGGCATCAGGGCATGGAGCTCCAGAGCAAATGACACTCTCTACCAAGTGACGCGGCATGGTGTTGACACTGCTGAGGTACGACTTCTTGCTCTCTTGTGATGCAAAATATATCTTTTGACCGTTGTTCAGACACACATAAACGTAGTTGTCAGTAGTGATGGCATCTCCAGACACGGGGTCGCTAATTTTGTCCGAGCACTCGTTGCAAGTGTTTGTACACTTGGCGTGGCGTTTACATCCGTCTGGTTGACAATGAACTCGGCCATATTGGCGGCTAGGTAGGCCGTGTCCGTCAAGTCCGACTTATAGTCCGGAAAAGCTCGTGGCGCCATGCCACATGAGTAAACTCTTTGACCATTCATCATCGTCACGTAATTCTCATTATCATAACCGCTATCAAGCGTTGACATGCCACATACAGGACACGTGTGATCGATAGAGCTTACATCCGGTGACGCCAAGTCACGATGTACTTGTATTACGTCTACGTCGTACACATGGTGTAGATCATGGTGATGAATGTGGTAAATGCGTGCAGTAGTTAAAGCTGTTAGAAATGCTGAGATGGCTACAGTCCATTGACACAAAAAGTGAACCATCTCGTATGAAGGACGAGGTGAATAGAAATGTCTGAAGCTTTTGGGACCTGTTCAATGGGTACCGTAACCTTGACGAGACAGAGAAAGGCGGGGATTTGGAGCGTATAGATTGACTAGGGATTTTACGCCAATGAAATGGCGTAGCACCTATTTTTAAATACTGTACTAAATTTAGTCTCTCGCTTTCACTAAGTATTCAAGTGGTAAGGGTTGGCCCCCATTCGATAATTGCATACGGAGCAGGTGCCTGATGAAAATGGCTTCTTTTCATCACCATCTGTCATCCGGCAACATAATTTCTTACAGTAAAAGTGCTGGTTTAAATTATTCTGCTTTTGTCAAAATAATTGTTGTACCAGTGAAAGAGACTCCATTGTTACACTTTCTATCGTCATGCCAAGAGCTCCGTCGTTAATAATGCTGTTCGTAGCACTGCTATTCATAAGTGTGGACGCCGACCAAAACCTGGGAAAGACCACGTGCCCGCTTTGTAACATGGATGTTAAGGCCGACATCAAGGCCACTATTTTGGGCGACCAGTACATTTACGCATGCGAGATGGCCGGTCACATTGACTCATTACAGAACGACCCCGTGCGTTTATTTACTAGCGATAATACCCCCTCTACCCTATCAAATGTCATTAAACACCCTCTCTATCTCCTTTAACAGGCTGCTAATCTGGGCCCTCCGAAGAAAGCTGACATCACCACGGACGAGATTTACAAAAGTGCGACGAACATCAAGTGCCCCGTGTGTGGCAAAGGCTTTGACCAGCTCACACACGCCGTGCCATGGATCTCCAAGGGCTCTCAAAAGATCTACACGTGCTCGGAAGAGCATGCAAAGATTGTGTTTGACAATCCGACCAAATTTGTGGCAGCGCAGCTCTCGACCGACGACTTTTGCGATGCCGGTGCGGCTGCTGAACCCACAGGCTCGACCATGTTCAATGGCTTCCAGCTCGCTATTGGTGGCGATGCCTCGTGTTTGCTACTGCTCTTCCAGCCATGGGTGATCTCATCTGCAGTCAAATATGCCTTTGCTTTCCTAGGTGTCGTGCTGCTGGCCATGTCACTCGAGGGCTTTGGTGAGTTTCGCGAGTGTATGAAAAGTCGGCTCTATCGAGACTACGGTCTCGTGTCCAGTCAAACCGACTATTTGCCGTTATCCACGCCACAAGTCGGCAGCGTCAGTAATGGGCGTAATAATGGCAGCCTCGAGCCTTTTGCGCACAAGGTCGGCCGCGTGCCGGATATGCTCCCGCTGAGTATCGTCCGTCGCCTGCCGAGCTGGTGCAAACTGGTGCTGGCAATTATGTACATGGTACATTTGACTTTGGGCTATTTTGTCATGCTGGTTATCATGACGTTTGAGACGCTCATGTTTGTAGCTGTAATTCTTGGAATTGGTCTGGGTTTTGTCATGTTTAAGGACACTGATGCCGACAAAATTAGTGGCAGCATCGACCCATGTTGCTCCACTTAAATTTCCATAATTGCACTAGAAAAGAGTATTCCGACGACAATAATTGTGTATCAAAATAATTGTGTATCAAAATAAACTTGCAATATTATCAGTTATCCATCTGATTCCTAGGATCAGAGAATAATTCATCAATTTCCACCAGTCAAAACTCTCCGATCCATGTATGGCACCGTGAATACGAGTACGAGCGTCGGCAGTTCGCGCGACGACTTCGCGCCGCCCCCGCCATCCGTTTCGCCCTTCCGCTACCACGTACAAGAAGGTGAAACACTGTCAAGTATCGCTGCAAAAATGCAGATCACCGAGACGGCATTATTGGCTCTTAATCCGCAATTAGGATGCAAAAAGAGACACGTCAAGCTTTATTCCGGCCAACAACTTGTCGTAGAAGACGCACGTGACGTGTCATTACCTCCATTACCCGATTGTATTGATAATGGATGGGGTCAGATGCATCTTGTACGTCCTGGAGAAACATTACGTGACATTAGCGTGCTTTATAATACGACAGAAGAGAGTTTACGTCAAGATAATCGGCGCTATTTTCCAACGGGTGAACGTAGTCGATTATCGCCCGGGCAATTGCTTCATGTGCGACACATCAATACAGGGGAAATGGAGAGCGATGACCTTATTTTAGGTAATGGAGATGCAGACCACAAGACCTCAGCCTTGGATGGAATAGGACAGGATGTCACGTATACCAACACGTCGGCTGTCTTTGCACGGTACAAGACACATGTGGTCACTTCTACCGATACTTTTGAGTCTATCTGCAAAATGTATACGATCCCCTACGCTCACTTTGTGCAGATAAATCGAGGTCACTATCCAATGGGTCAACGTGCCGAGCTCGTGGTTAATGAGCGAGTCATTGTACCGGATCTATTGGCGACCCAACAAGCAGCTCGTAGACGAAACATTGCAGAAGTGAAACTTACCAAGCAGATTCATGTCGTGAAGCCGGGCGAGACACCAGAAGAGCTTGCGAAGCGCTATGCCATGACGTACGACGAAATGCGTGAATACAATCGCAACTACTTTCCCAAAGGATATCGTGGCGAGATCCGTCCGGGCTACAAGCTGGTGGTCAAACGACCAGTAGACACGGACGACTCCAGTTCGCCGCGACAGTTACAAAACAGCGGGTACAGGGATCTTGATGCAGTAAGCAGTGCGTGAATAATCAGCCAGCCACCAGTCGCATGGTGGTCGGTAGTTTGTAAATGTATGAAAGTAGGACCGTGCTTTACCTCGGTGAATTCAAAACGGAGCCGGGTTGAGCTTCCTGTGTTAATACTTGCTACTTATTTGTTACGTGCACTTAGGTGCGGATTCCACGTCGCCGTTGACGAGTGCGCTGGGACGTATCGGGTGTTTCCTGTCTTGGTGCCATCAGTGACACACTAGCAACATCACCATCAGCCAAAGCATCCAAGTTCGACGTATCAGAATGATCTGACGTGTAGATTATTGTCCGGGCACGCTCGGTGGCAATCAATCGAGATCTCACGGCATTTAGATCCTCCTTTTTGACCATGTCTTCTTCCTCTTCGGCATTATCACGGTTTGCGCCAATCTTCTCTTTCTCGACATCTTCCTCGCTTTCAGAAGATACCAACTCAATCGCTTCGACATCAACGTTAGCCATTTGTCCGATGACTTTTGTCTTAGGCTGCTTCACTACAGCAGCATCTGTATTATCTTCCTCATCTGAGCTGTCGTCTGACAGCAACACCACCTCTTCGGCTTCAGACTCGTCCACATGAGCGAGTCGCTGCCACCGCATGTGTCGGCGGGGTGAACGGGTGAGAAATCCACGCTTGCGGTGACAAACAAAAAAATATGCCGTCAGCGCCGCAAGCACGAGGAATGTCATTGAAAACAAACCGATCTGCGTCAAAATGGGTCTGGGCAATCCCAATAATGTATCACGAGGACTCGATTGCCGATCTTCACTTTTAAAATCAGCAACCACTTTTGCATGCTTCGTCACATCAATCATACTTTGTTCCACCGCATCCTTTTGAGAAATGACGCCTTCAGCCAGCGCTTGATCGGTCTCAAGCCAGATTATTTCCTCTTCAGCAATTACGCGCAGCTCTTCTTCTACCCGCAAACGCTCAGCTTCCTCCTGCAACAAAACCTGTTCGAGTTGCTCCAGCTCTAAAATTTCCTTTGCCGTTACTATACGGTCCGATTCCAACATGTCGTCATCAGTCAAAGCACCTGCATCAGCTGCATCAGCGTTTACCTCGATTTCAAGGTATCCTGTACGCTTTCTCTGAGCTTCAACAGCTACATTAACAGACCCCTTCTGTATCTCCACTTCCACAACAGCTTCATCATACCTGTGTATGCTTGCCGATTCTCCTTGCGTAGGTCGAAGGTCTGTAAACACCATTGCACCATCAACATTCGCTCGTGCTTTCAGTACGGATTTAGCATCCAATTGCTCAGTTTGAGTACCTGTCTTTTTGTCGACTGCCTGCAAAATCACTTTACAATCTTCTTCAAAGCACTGAGTCATTTCTATCACCTGATTCTCCGTGAAACCTTCGGCCACAATTCCAGTCTGAGCCGCAACACGAGTTCTCGCGTCAGCAAGAGGCTGTTTTGCTTCTATTTCTTCGAAGCTTTTGTCAGCAATTGCGGTTAGCTCCTCTACAAGCTTCATGTCGGTTTTCTCAACCGGGGCTCTCAAGTATGCTTCTGCTCGACTTTCTTGTTGAAGCTGCACTTCTTCTTCAGATAAATTTCGCACGCCGACACGCTTTGATGCTTGCGCTTGAATGAGTTCCACCTCCAGCAAAGTGTTATCAAAGTCCACTGAGACTTGCGCGGCAAACGTTTGTTCCACCTCATTGATTGCCTCGTTCCTGTCTGTTGGTTTCAATGCAGCGTCAATAAGATCTATTTCGGTATGCTTGGCAACTATATTTAGCTGGTCTTCGGTGACATAACCACCCTCAACCGCTTTCTCCGACGAACTTGACTTGCCCACTACTGAAACTTCAGTAAACTCAACAGTCAGCACATTAGCCTGCTCTCCACTGAAAAGCTCGCTTTCTGATGCCTTCTCTGAAGAACTGTATTCAAGAGTTGATGCTTCGTTTCGTTCAGCAGTCATTAAATCAGCAATCGTAACTCGTACTTGAGACTTTTCCCCGGTGTCAAGATCGCTGTCTGGTATATCTGCTGCTGGGCTTTCATCTTTCGACACCAAAGGTCTTGTATGATCACCAGACAGCTTACTTTCTCCATTAAGTTGGCTACCTACCAAATGATCTCCACTGACACGCTCGTCTCGTGATATATGCGTCATAGAAATCCGGTCTCCTAAGACTGGAATTTCCATCACTTTCTCATTGACGACCTTTTCATGTACCGATAGGTATCGTTTCAAGCTTGCTGCAGCATCAAAATGTGCCTGACTTTCCAATGTGATTTCCGCCAACATCTCAGATCCGCCCTCTTCTTGTGCTTGCCATGACGTGCGCTCGTAGTCTTCAAGTGCTTGCTCGAAGGCTCGAACATATTGTTCTGCTAGTTGCCTGGTGCGGTCTTCGATAAATTCCACAGCAGCCATTTTTACATTGAGGACACTTTCAAGTGCAATAGTCCGGGTATCCTCAATAATCGAGTTGGTAGCAAATGCAATAGTGGCCCGTCGTTTCTCGAAGCGCTTTACATCATGTATTGCCTGAAATTGCTGTGCTGTAAGTCCTCTTCCTATATTTTGAATTGCAGCTTGATGTGTCACTAGAGGTGCAAGAAAATGCTCACCGGACAGATTCACATCACTCATATCTGACTCCATTCCTAACCATTCAAAGACTTTGCCCAGACTCGATGCCGTCACTGCTCTATTCAGAGCTTCGGCAAAAAATGAGAAAGCTGTCAGTAGAAGAGCTTGGACTTGCTCGAATAGCTCGCCATTTCCAGTCAACTTCGCAAAACCTGAGCGTACCCACTCCATCGACAATTCCAGACCATCGACCACACTCAAAAGTACTAGTCTTAATTGGTCTCGCAAGCCTTCTTTCAGTCTGAAACACAGAATCGCAACTTCTCTCGGCTTGATCAAGCCAGAAATGCCCTGCAATGCTTGCGATTCCATTGCACGTGCCGTCTCTGCCAGCCTCTTGTTCCTTAGCAGCGCCAGCCACTTCATCTCTACCACATATCCCACGTTTTTCATACTCAGCTCCACCTCGTTCCAGAGGTATATTAGCAGTGAAAATAAACTCTCCTCCATCCTACCAGCTGCATCGTGGATCAAATCCGCCGCAGAAGACGACGGATACATCTGACACACGACAACTCCACCTGCCACAATAAGTCCACCTACAATGACAATAGCCAGCACACCAGTCGATCGACTAAACGGGGCCTTGCGTTTCTTGGTCATTGTTAAATTTGCTTCCATTGTTCTCATAGCTGTGATCCCCTTCCCAGAGCCATCAACGACAATATCTTGTATCGAGTCAATTGTTTGGATTTTCTCAACCGTCGTGTCCCCATTCACTTCATGTCTCTCCATTGACTTCAATACTAACGGGACTTTATTTCGCAAAACATCCAAGTCCCCATTGCAATGACTGCTTTTTATCCGTCGACTTGCATTGATCCGTGGCCTTTTTTGCAGCTGCTCCTTGTCACCTTTTTCATTCGTCCATTGACTGCGTAAATGTTGTAAATATTGTTTTGTATTGGTAGTCCCTGTCGTGGTCTTTATCGACATGTTGGACGTCGTCTGTACGTGTGATTTGGTATCATTTACCGTATCATTTCGATGCGTTTCTTCAAGTTGTTGCTCATGGACGGATAAGGACGACATGGCTACAAAGAGTCAAGTGAAATGACACGGGGAGCTCCTATTGATTACGTTTTTTTATTTTTATTTTTTTTAGAGAAAAAGGACACTATTACAATAAGTTTTTTTTTTAGAAGGATGGAGACTATTTTTTTATAATGACGTAGTTATTGTATTAGAAAAAAACACTTTTGTAGGACCATTTGCAAAAAAGTGAATAATTGTGACACGTTTGTGGAATAATATAAGAAACAAATGAGTGAGAAAGTATCAGATGTGGTAACAATTGAGTCAACTTCTGACCGGCAAAAGGAAGAGCTTCGATGTCTTGTAAGGAGATATACAAAGCTCGATGAGAAAAGTGAGGAAGGTCTTGCAATTGCAAAACAAGTGTATGCGGATACTGGATATTACTTAGGACCTATGACCAAAGAGATTCCCAAGTTTGCCATGGATTCAAAGTATCGAAAGAAAAGTTTAAAGAAACTTACGGGTTGTTTAGATCGGATGAATCAAGAATGGAGTGATGCTGACTCGAAGCGTGAATTTTATACTGAGACGAAATATTCTCGTAATGAAGACGGATTGTTCGAGTACATAGACACTGTCACGGGTGCACAGATTCCAACGCGGGTGTACGAGCAACGGTATTTGCAGTACATTAAGGCACACGAAATCAATCCGGTGCTTCGTCTCTTTCCTGGTCAAGAAATAGTGGCACGAGAAGACAAAGGGATGGAGAATGATACACCCGCATCATCAGCAGTATTGAAAGCGGACGAAAATACAACGTCGCTTTTCGTGGCTACACTGGGAATCGACATTAGCTCAAGCTTTATTATCGACAAGTATTTTTTTTCATCCGGAGCAAGACAAGCGCCATTGGATATTCAAAGATATAGAGGTGAGGATATGGCATTTCGGGCGGCAGTGGATAGTGCTCGGGCGGACTTATGGCATCGTTGGGGCATTGCGTTCGATCGAGTGTCTGCTGATCGCGCAATACAAGCTGGAAGCGGTCATTCTGACAAGCAACTGCAGCCGACAATAGACGTTGCAGGTACCTGCCTACCTAAACGTTATGTGAAATACCTTGTATGCACTTCGCTAATATTGTGATGCTTGCTTAGATCATCGCTCAGCAACGCGAAAACGCGCACGAGAGAGGCGACGAAGTCTCGTTTTACCAAACTCGGATGATATACTATCTATCGAGGCAAGTGTAGAAAATAGTTCAGAAGATGCAAATGACACAACATCGAGCAAAAGCGATTCTCATCAGCCACGACCGAAGAAGTGTCGATCCATGTCGCAAAAGTCAAACACAGCCCAGAAATCTCGACGCGAATCTCGACGTCAGAGCATTGTTAGCCAGGTGGACTATAGTTTAATCGTGACAAGTGAGGCTGAGGAAAAGACGGCTGCTACGAATTGCAGAGTACCTCAAAGCTCGCGCAAGTCTCTGTTTCCTAGACATTCTGCTAATGGATATGCTCGAGAGACCAGTTCACTAGAGATAGTGGAAGACAAAGATTCTGACTTGTGCCAGCTTTGCTATAGTGAGAAAGCTCTGGTGCACATGAACCGTTGCGACCACGCCGTTTGTTCCTCGTGCTGGTCGCGGTTGTCTCCATCATCTGGAAAAACTGGGATAAGCTTGCGTCGTGTTTGTCCCTGGGATTGCGAGGTGGTGACAAACGAAAGTGAGGAGAAAAGCTTGTAACAAGCTGCAGTATTGCTGGGGACTGTAGGCGTGGCTCGTGGGAGTTCATGACATCTTAGTGCGCGGGTTTCTGCATTGAAGCCGCAATCAGGATTGGCCACGAAGCAAGCATTAGAACACTGAAAAGGTACGATCTGAGCTACTTACACTGATGCGCATGCCCATGTGAGAAAGCTGATAACTTGTGCGTTCTTATGGCAAGTAAAGGCGGCCTGGAAAACCACCCTTGCTGTGACTTCAAGCCAATCCTTAGCTATTGCGATACCTTTCTCAAAGCAGACGAAGCGCAAAGATGCAAAATAAGAGAACTGCATGACATGAACTGGAGAAAGCAGAGTTACTATTGTAAACAAGTCATTGCGCGAATCAGGCGAAGTGAAAGTGAGACCTCTAGTGCGGGAGAACGCTTTTGAGGTGACAATTATTTTCTTTTGCTGGTGAAGGCGCATTCGCTTGATCAAGTGCAAGCTGCTGCTCTTCATGACTACACCAAGTTGTTTTACACCCGACTGGAAAAGTTGACATTGCAAGCTGCAAAACATGCGTGGGTTTGTCCGAACAGAATGGCCATAATTTGTGCGGCTGCACATTTGCACATTCCAGCCAGACGGCAGTAGGTCGGTCATCTTAGAAGTTGGCGGAGCGAATTTTGCCCTTATGAGCGTGACCAAGTTATTCACTCGGTAAGTTTGACCTTGATCATTTGCTTTAAGCACGATGATACGCCTGCTGTTCTGACAGCGAATTGGTTGAGTTTGCAGAGATAGACAACCATATCCATCAGCTGAGTCTACAGCACTGCATAAAAGAAAGCGGCTTAAAAGATTCTTTGTTCTCGCCGTCTGAATTTCTCAAGCGCACTGCTCACAAAAAAAGAATCGCTAAACTATTTCATTTCGTCGTTAAACCGTTTTCCTAAGGCGCGGATAAAACTAATCATGAGACGGCGGAATGGGCAAACTGTTTGTATCCGCTGCACAGAGACCACTAGAAGGATGGACAGTTGACAGCATGCGTCAAGAGTGCACACTTCTACACGGACAGTGCAGGGACCAGAAGCGCCGATTCCACCCCACTCTCAGCATCGCTGGAGAGCGGACGGCGGAGTGATCTCGTAGCGGCCAAAGTGCTAGACAAATACTATGCAGCAGACAACACATACATCATCCGCTCCCAGCACTTTAACACTCGAGCTCCTTCACCGTTTCCCACGTAAAGTCCGCGTCCTCGCGACCAAAGTGGCCATAAGCAGCAGTCTTCTGCATGATAGGACGCTTTAACTGCAACGTCTTCTGGATCATGCCCGGACGCAGGTCGAAGTTCTTCTTGATGATTTCCACCAGCTCGTCGTCGGACAATCCCTCCTTCACCGTGCCGTACGAGTCGACGTGGATCGACAAAGGATAAGGTACACCAATCGCGTATGAGAACTGCACAAGAAGGCGATGGGCAAGACCTTTAGCAACCATAGATTTGGCGACCCAACGAGCAGCGTAAGCAGCCGAGCGGTCAACCTTAGTCGTGTCCTTGCCAGAGAAGGCACCACCACCGTGAGCACCCCAGCCACCGTACGTGTCAATAATAATCTTGCGGCCGGTGAGACCAGCGTCGCCATGGGGACCACCAATCACAAACCGTCCAGACGGATTCAAGTGGTACACAGTCTTATCATCCAAGTATTTCTCCGGAATGACCGTCTGAATAACGTGTTTCATAAGGTCAGCAGAAATTTGCTCATTCGTCACATCATCATTGTGCTGAGTGGAGATGACAACTGTGTGTACACGCTGAGGGATCATGCGACCATCGTCCTTCTTGTATTCCACAGTGACTTGGGTCTTGCCATCAGGACGAATCCAGTCAAGAGTTCCGTTCTTGCGCACATCCGTTAGCTTCGAGCCAAGCTTAGTGGCCAGCACGTGCGACAATGGCATGAGTTCTGGCGTTTCATCTGAAGCGTAGCCAAACATAATGCCCTGATCACCAGCACCAACGTCTTCGTCCGTGACAGAGTCAACAGACTGGGCAATGTCCGGTGACTGCTGTTCAATGGCAACAATGACGTTCACGGTCTTGTAGTCTAGACCCTTTGCCGGGTCATCGTACCCGATGTTCTTAATAGTATCACGGATAACCTTCTCGTAGTTAACAATTGCCTTGGTACTGATCTCACCAAAGATCATGACCATGCCAGTCTTGGCGCAAGTCTCACAGGCCACGCGAGAGTTGGGGTCTTCAGCTATGCAGGCATCTAGCACAGCATCCGAGATCTGATCACAGAGTTTATCTGGATGGCCTTCGTTTACAGACTCGGACGTGAACAGAAAAGTGCGGTCGTTCGGGGTAGAAGTCTGTGTCATCTTGGACGAGTGATGGTCTTGAAGTACAGAATGAATGCGCGCGTTGACAAGCAAATTTCAGAATGAACGGATGGTGTCGGTTTTCCCGCTATTAAAACCTCATGAATTTGGCAAAAAAACCTCGGACGTACAGTTTGCTGGTGGACACAACGCATCAAACTTTCGACCAATCGCGGCGACGCGTAACGAAACTCTAGCCAATCCGACGCATACTGCATGCCACCTCACATTCGACCGACGGCCTTTTTACATATGATAGGGGACCTACTTGTCTATAGATAGCCTAAAGCAGCTCATGCCGTATTGTTATTGTTTATAGAGAAACATCTCTACGCTGTACTGGCTCAACACCACCCATTGTTATTCTTTGTGATTTGCAATCATCTTGTTGAGCTTAGGTACGTTATCGTATAAAATACTTGGTGAAGGTGATAGGTGCATCCATCTGTTTTCACAGGATATACGAAGACGCAGGAATGCTCAGCATATTTTTCGACCAATTGAATTCAACGCGCTGACGAAGTTGAACACGCAATTGAAGTTACGCAGCAATGACATTCCACATTGCTGCTACAAAGTCAATCGTTAGATATCAACTGCTTGTAGACTTTATGATTGTACATCTTGTGCAACATGCGACATTTAAAACTGTTTTTGTGCAGGAGACCTTATCTTACAAATTGTATATTCTGCCTTTTGATAAGCCCGACATTTATCTCCATAGCCAAATCAATCTGATACTATCCGTAATATCTGAGTAGAAAGATACATTATCGGAATAAAATAACTATGACGGATTTTATGCGACGAACCAGTCATTTGCTTCCTTCCAGCATTTGGTGACAACCTTTTGTGTATAATCATGAATGGTGTACTGCCAATGTTGACGTGGGGCACATGGGACGACACCGAATGGACACACGCAAATAATAACACTTCAATTCCTGGCATTGCTGCTATAGCCGTTGATTGTGCAGCATCGTCGAAAAAGCAGCGAAGCTTTCGCAAATTGCGTAAAAAAGCTCTACAAGCGCCAAAGAACTCGCAGCTTTGGTTCGAGGAGCTGCTCGAGCGATTAGAAGGCACTTCCTTTGGTCGTGAGAAGACCAAATATCATTGCAATCCACTCAAGTGTTTGCACACATCAAGAGAGTCTCGTAGCGAGACGGCGACAAAAATTCCTTGGGCCGATCTACCCGACGGCATTCACCCACGCGATGGAAAACTACCACCACAACGAGCAAGGAACAAGCAACATCAAGTTGACAATCTGGCAGTCTTCTTACAACGTATACTGAGGTGAGTAAGTCACTGCAACTCTATTGTTTGTAGAAGCTGATGTTGCTACTGCTGTTGGCATTCTCACGCTGTTTCTTCTCACACCGGCTCGTCATCTAGACCAGGCAATATAGTGGTCGAGTTTTGTGCCGGGTCCGGATATGTAGCACTGCCGCTTGCTTGCCTCTTTTCGCACTGCACATTTGTGTTACTTGACAAGAAGGAGCCTTCTCTTGCTATCGGTATAACGATTTGGTTTCAGTTGAAGCTGGTTGCTGGTTGCTGTGCAAAAGAATACTGATGTGTGCTAGTTTTGTCTTCTTGGCAGCCAAGGAGCGCATTGCTGCTGCTCATTTGACCAACGTGGAGATCTTCTGTGGGCTCATTGACGACTACTGCAAACCCTTTGACGTAGGCATCGCACTGCACGCTTGTGGCGAGGCCACAGACATGGTGATGCAAAAATGTCTCGCGGAGCGGGCCGCGTACGTGTTGGCCCCGTGCTGCGTCGGCAAGATAAAGTCAAGCAAATGGGTCTACCCTCGTTCTGCTACTCTAGCCGCTGAGCTCTCACGCACCGAGTACGAAGTACTGGCGAAAGCTGCCGACTTTGGACATTCGAGTAGAGGTGCCGTAGCACAGACGGATATCAACCGCAGACGCCGACGCTGCAAGACTCTCCTTGAGAGTGATCGCAACGTATGTGCAGAGGAAGCGCTGTACGATACGTTCATGTTCATCATGCACCCGGCGACAGCCACTCCCAAAAATGATGTATTGGTTGGAATCCCACGTACCCTTGCCGTCGGACAAAACACAACGCAGGACGTGAACAAGTTCTTCCAGCTCGCATGCGATGATATGCTGTCGACTGACTCGCTTGTACGCGAAGCAATGCTCAGCACTTAGACACATAATATGTCTCATGCTCGCTTGCTTACCGAGGTGTGTAAGACAGCGCAGCTTTCACTCGCTGCAGCAGCGCGCGAGTATCAGACAACTCAAAATCACGGCAGTCTACTAGCAAAAGCGGCGATGGTTCTGGCGAGGATGTCGCTCCACTAGACGCAAACGTCATGACTCCTTCGAGGTTCATGAGTGCAAACTGCATAGTAGCCGCCCATCCGTGCGCAATTTGCATTTTCGTTTGCATGGTTTCCATAAATACAGAGCACGGTACACCCATGAGTCGCGTTACAAAATCGTCAGCCACGTCCGCTTCCTTCGTTGCAGTGCAGTCCTCAACAGAAACTCGAAGCTGGTATCGACCAGTGTTGTATTGAAAGCCTACGACAGACTTGATGCACGCACGAACCTGGAATGAAGTCGACTGTACCGGTTTGGACAGCGTGGACAATCTTGCTTCAAAATACTGAAACGGGAGCGTTGGATTTGGCGGTGCACATGTGGCACCTGCCATTGTAGCTTGATCCAGCAGCGAGGAGCTCGACGCATGTGCGGGTACACCGACCATTGCGCCCACTAGTCGTGTCAAATTCTGCTGTAATGGAGGCCTAACTCCCGCTTCTTGCTCCACTGGCGGCGAACGAGGCCGCTTCCTGATGGGAACCTCTTCGATATCAGCTTGTGCAGTCTTTATACCATCAAGACTAGCTGGGTACCGAGGAGTCTTTGGGCTGTAGAAAAGGTGCTCCACCATTGGATCGGTCGTATCGCTGTCCAAGTCTTCGTCCGATGGAGGTACATCTACAAACACTGCCGGAACGGAAGCACTCGGAACAGTGCTGGCAGCTACGTTGCTCGTGCTCCGCGCAGGCTCTACGCGTGACAACGAGGCTGCATCTTTACTTTTAACTTGTGCCCAAGAAGTACTGTCGGATGCGCTAGTCGTCGCCAAAGACAAAACAACAGGCTGCTGCGTGCTTGCCGGTGGACTTGCAAGCAATTGCTGTTGTGAAGTGTGAAACTGCGAAGTCACCAGGGCAGCGGAGTATGCTCCCGTACCCACTCCGATCAAGTCTGCTGATTGTTGCATTTCTCCATTATCACGTCGCGAGTGGTTGGACGATGCCTCTAGTAGCTGGCAATTGTCAGGTGCCAGCAGGAGCAATCCGTGCCTTACAGGTACGTTTTCCATCACAACTTTGGTGCCACGGCGCATGTTGACACTAAATTGCGGTAGTGGAGTAAATTCAAAGCCAAACACCAATTGATGGCCGTCTGTAAGCCCCAGTTTAAGTGTACGTGCTGGTCCAGCAGCCGAAAACTCCGTGCGATGTTCGTAATTGGCACTAATATTCGCTACGTCCACTACCTGCATGCCTTGTAAATTAGTCAAGTCAATACTTATGTGTAATTTACAAATTAAATACGTACAAACCTGTAAGATGCACATGCCCTCGATAGTAAAACCATGGAGCTTGGAGACATCCGGGGGTAGCGCCGGCCGACAACTTTGATGCAAACCCGACTGCATTAATCGCCCAAATAGATACGCACCATATGGAACTTCTTGTCGAGTAGTAGTATTAGTTACATCTTGAAACTTTTGGAATTCCTGCGCTTCCCATTCCGGATCGAGTGCTTCGTACGGCAACTGCCGACGCTCTCGTCCTGCTGGTGGTGGTGATAGCATTGCAGATATAATAAAAGGATTGATATAATTTCTGAAAGGTAAAATAACTGACAAGGTGAATCATATGAAATGTATAATCTCGTCTATATATTACGCAATCCTTTTCATTGCATTTTCTTTTTTACTTCAGTAGTTTGTCGATGGTGATGTTAATTCTTAAGTCGCTAAACTTGGTTGTACCTCTGTTTACATTTTCATTAATATCTCATTTTTATGCATTAAAACTGAGATATTTGATCCGTATTATTGGATGAAAAATACATAAAATCGGTCAATGACAACTCTCACCATCTTCCGTTATGTAGTCCACTCAGTGGTCTTGTCGACCGTCTCAGGCATATTTCCAAGGTCGACACCTGCGGCCTCGTCCAGTGACGATTGCGCATGACTGGACGACTTGCTGAACTTTTTACTAAATCCAACTGTCGTGGACACCGTGCTAACAGCGGCCTTGAATTTCCGGCGCGCGTTAAAGCGGCGTAGTTCTTCCAAAGCGCTTGTAAGCTGCACTGTAGCAATTTCCGTGCCCGTGACCCATCGATGTGCTAGGAGCTGGTCGACCGTTGCACTACAATGCAGACGTGAATACTACAGTCACTTACATGAAACAGAGCAAATACATAATCAATCAATTAACCAGAACGCACCGTTTCTCTGGATCCACGACGAGCATCTGAAAGATGAGGTCCTTTGCATCGTCTGATACGTGGTCCCAGTACGGTGAATCAAACTGAAACGTGCCCTTCTTGATCTTCTTAAACAGAGCGTTGTGGTTATCGTCGTGGAATGGTGGGTATCCACACAGCAGGATGTAAGTAATGACGCCTATGCTCCATATGTCAACCGTCTTGCCATAAGGTTTGCCCTCAAGGATCTCTGGTGCGACATATCCAGGTGTACCACAAGCTGTCACAAGACTCACTGTGTCAAATTCAACCTTTTTTGCGAAACCAAAGTCAGCCAGTTTAATCGATGCATCGTCATCCTTGCTTGTCAACAAGAGATTCTCCGGCTTCAAGTCGCGGTGCACGATATTAGCATCATGACAGTACTTGATAGCCTCTAGAAGTAGCTTCACCAGATCGCGAGCTTCCCTCTCGTTGTAGTACGACTACAAAAACAACAGCAGTCGATCCATATAAAATAGTACTCCACACAACAGTCGAACACATCTATTGTATCGACGACAAACCTTTTCAACGATTCGGTCAAACAGCTCGCCGCCTTCCATGAACTCCGTCACCAAGTAGTAGAATTTATCCTCAACGAAAAAATCGTGCAGGATCATGATGTTTGGATGGTTCATCTACAAATGACAAAAGAAAACTCAAGTCAGTACTTCAGCAAAAGTAGTATAACCCCCCCCCCCCCCACACACACACAAACTAAACTACAGCAGTCCACCTGCTTCAAAATAGCAATTTCTGTCGTCAAAGCCTCAATGTCCTCCGCCACTAGACCATCGCGTTTGATGCACTTGATGGCGTATCGTTGACTTGTTGGGTTGTGAACGGCAACGCGCACAACCGAGAATGTACCAGACCCAATCACCTTGCCAAGAGTATATTGCTCCTCAAAGCTGTTGGAATTTACAGCAGCCGGCACGGATTTACCGTGAGTTGTCACATTATTCTCGTCATTCGATGCCACCTGCGCGTTCCCATTCACCACATCCTAATCAAATAAAAGGTCAATACAGTGCTAGTAAAATAAAGAGGTAGTGCTTACTAGCTTGGAATTAGCGCAGCCCATGTTCTTTCTTGTTATCAAGGGGAATAAAATAAAGCAAAGAGTCAGTGAATATGTAGCTGTTGTTTCTTGTCTCGTTGTGATGTTACTAATCACACCACGTAATATTGCTGAGGGTGTACGTTGAGCGGTTGTATATGACTAATATCGTTATATCGCCTTTTTTCGCTAAATATAAGACGTTTCCATGAACCACATAGAGATCGTCGCAGGATGATTCAATATTGTCGTCTAGAATTTAAGTTATATAAAAATGTCGACGCTCATGTCGTAAAGGTGAATTTGTCGCCCTTCAAAGTGTCAAAACATATGTAGCTTAGATCGTGTCGACCTCGAATGTGCTAGTCGATATCGTACCTGACGGAGCTTAGTGTTAAGCTTGGGTTCTGCATATGATATACGCTGGATAGATCTTCCGGGTCTGCGACGACGGAAGGGGCTAAATTGCTGACCGAAGGGCGAAGATACAAATGCCGCATTCGAACGCCGTGAATCGGACATTGTTGCGCGGTGTTTCGCCTTACGGCACATAGTATTTGGCTGACTTGTCCGCTTGCCTAAGCCATAATAGTCACCCTAGCACGCCAAACGTTGATTCAACAAAGAATCGAGCACTTGGTCAAAAAATGATCGAAACAAACCCGCCGTAGTTTCACATTCAGCTTCGGCTCGACATAAGATACACTAGCATCTCGCTGGCGCAGTCGCTTCATTACACCAGTCTGTAAACATTCATTAAGTGAGCTTGTTGACGAAAAACAGGCTACCTAAAGCGTACCTGTAAGCTCGTTTGCTCCAAATCAACCGGAGACCGAAGGGTGCGTTGGCGTTGCATGGCTTGATCATCCAGCCATGCAATGTCAACATCTTGTGCAATGCTGTTTCTAGAGTCTGCCACTCGATTGGGTATGATATCGTCGTCCTTAGCCTCGCTTCCAACCGCGTATGCATTGTCTTTCGTCTAGAGCTCCTCGTTAGAGAAGACACAAGTAAGGTTCAGACCAATATAGCAACTGAAACAGCATTAGCTTACAAACGGGTCTATAGTCTTGTTCTCGTTGAGATCTATCTCAAACATTGTAGGTTTGATAGCAGAAGACGAATGCTGATCATGAATCCATAGTTAGTGTTAGCGTGTTTCGCAACACGAATCATTTTCAACCGTACCGAAGAAAGAGTCTGCATTATATCGCTATCGTGACAGGGTGATAGTGGTGGATCCGGCTCAAGCTGCTCAATGTCTTCAGATGCACATGTGTGTATGTGCGTTCGATCGAGTTCCTCAAAGCTGCATTGAATGGCTTGATGTTGTACTGCAAAGAGACGAGTGAGCGACATTATGGCTTCCGCATTATCACAATCGATGTCTTGCCTTCCACGGGTTTATGTCTTGCCTCCATCCACTCCAAAACTAAAGCAAAACGTTCGAATCAAAAGGCCATTTGTGTGTCAAAGTCGATGATGAATTCCAAGCAAACCTTTATCCGAAAATACGGCTTTCTGCGCTGCCCGAGCTACAACAATTTGCGGTCAGTACGATTGCTATCATGACACACGCCTGTAGTAATGCAGATAGCGCTTACCTTTGGTAAGCTCCTGCTTGGTCGCAGTCTGCCACAAAACCATCAAGAAACGATGAGAAGATGCAACCATCGTTGTTTTTAGTGACAACTCACCAGCGCTTTTGCTAGCTCCACATTCTTCTCCGATAACTTGCTATTTTTATCGCGAAGCTGCTGCAATTCCTGCATAACGCTGTAGACACGAGCGATGTTGTGTTGCGTCATCTCGTTATTGAATGCGTCCTTTTGGGATCACTTTCTACAAAGGACTTGAAACGGTATACTTACTAAACAAGAAACACTTCAAAATGGATCGAGATGGTTCATTTACATGTGTTAACTCAGTCAGGCTGGCCCGTTTAGGAAAGCAGGTTGGTATCCTGCCTCACTTTCACGACGCCATCTGCCTTCTGCATGTGCTCGGGTTTGATCAATCGGTCCACGTGCCGTGTCCCCCGTGAAGCCCGTCGTGTGAGGTTACAAACGTCCGGTGGAACGCTTTTCTAATGGAGAGAGATTGTAAGTGTTGGGCAGGTAAGATCGAGTTAATGGTCATAGTAGCGTCCGTAAGACGTGCTTACGTACAAAGTTGAGCTAATGTAGCGATCCAGCACCGTTTGGTGCCGTGTCCAATGCTGCCAAGAGTTCTTCAATATGTTACAACTACCATTGCTTTGTTCCTTCGATTCAATACTTCCTCAAATCTGGTTTCCATCTGGTGAAGGACAGAGTTTATGCGTTGATGATTCCTAGTTACATCTTTAGATTACAGTTCACTCATATCTCGCTATCATACTAATACTCCTCGTACTCTTGCAGTGCATCACGTACAAGATCACTCACGCGTATCACTATTCTACACTTTCTTTTGTATCGGATCCATCCTTTCGGCGATGTTCAAGTAAAGCCCCTGACGCTGTTGACGCTGTTGACGCTGATGTCGTTCGTATCAGCTGACTAGGTAGTTCCTGACTGGCTTCGCGATGGTGCAGGCGGCGATGAGTCGATCGTAGCTTCACTTGAAATCGCGAGCCAAAATTGAACTTTGCAACGATGTTTGATCAAAGTTGGCCGTGTGGAATGAGTGCAGACTAAGGGCGCGCCTGCGCTTAGGGGCTTCGTCGTTAGAGTCGCGGTGCTGATACGTTGGGTCATGCGTTGTTGAAAAGGGTCGGCGCCCTACTACTTCGCCTTCGTCGCTGTTGTTATCCGGCAGTGCGCTGCGGTTAATGGCATGCGAGCACAGACTGCATATTGTGAGCTTCATCTTGCCCACCACTGGAATGTCCGCGTGAATAGTGAGCTTGCATCGACCACAAATGACCTGCAAACAAAAACGAAGGGTCAGAAACAGAGTTAGATCAATAGTGCAACGTATTGACACATCAGTTCGTCTTCGCAATCATCAGCGTCACGAAGCAAAGACAATGGACAACATGTTTGTAGAAAAAGCTCTCTTATCCATCGTCTCTCTTTCTGGACACCGTTTCTTGTCTTTATCGTACCTCGCCACACTTCTGGCAGTTGTATCTTCGCTTAAAAGTGCCGATATCATCCACACAGACAAAGCATGTCTTGATCTTGCCCGGCGCTATCAATTGGCTTCGACGTGCAAATGTCTGATTAGCCACACGCTTCATGTTAACGTAGTTCTTTAAATGTTCCAAGCTCATGAATCGTTGTTTCAGTCCCTTGGTTGCTACCCATTGCGGCACATTGCCCTTGAGATCTGTATACACAGCTTGCACAATATCTAGTGTCTTGCGGTCGCGTTTGCTCTCAAGAAACACAATACCCGAACGGTAAATGCTACCTCGCACGAACCCATGTGACTTTTCCATATCAGGACAACTCTTGATCTTAACCGAATGTAGACAACGAGCAAAGCCTCGACAGCCATCAGGTAGAGTAAAACGACGCTGAATTTCCAGGTAACAAAAGTCTCGATTGCGAACCATGACGTAGGGAGAACGCACAGATGACCAGCGAATACCAATGAACACTGTGCTGTCCTCTCGTTGATATTGCTGGATCTCATATAGTACCACCGAGTGAAGAATATCAGGAGAGAGTTTTTTTTCTAGTTGTATATTAGGACGGGTCATGTCCACATCATAGAGATCCATGACCTCCTCTATACTTGCTTCTAGTTGAGTAATTCCTCGAAAATAATACACTCCAGCTCCACTTTTCTTATCTCCAGACTTGATCTTGACCTTTTCTATACGGATACTCCCTATTTGTTCCGTATATTCCCATTGAAGACTTTCCTGAAATGTGTCGTCGTCTTCATCGCTATTAAAATTTAAGCCACTGCTTTCAGTACTTTTTTTAAAGGCCTCACCTGCAGAGAAGCAAAGTAGCTCATCACATGCACGATTGGCCTCGTGCGTGATCTGTTCCTTACGAGTGACGGATAAGGGCGGACAATGAAACTTTTTCCATTTTGGCTGCTTAGATTTCATAGAGAATATTGGCACTTGCGGGAGTGGAGGGAGTGGAAGGAATTACTACTGCACAGGCTGTTTGTAGTAGCATTTTATAATGGAAAAAGAAGAATAGTACTATTTTGTTAGACGATAGTAAATATCACTTTTAGGGGGATACTACTATATCGACAAATACCAAAAACCTTCTAATGCACTTGTATACGTATACTGTCCTTTTATTTGTTTGTTTGTATAGTATAAAAAAAAAACATTTAGCTGCTACTCGTGATGAATCACGTACTGATGCTCCTGATACATTCAATATCTAGTTAAATATGATGGTGGCAAACGTATGTGTTGCTTGTCGTCTGCGAAAGAAATAATATCGAACAATCTCCTAAGAAGTACTGAAGGTGGTGGAGATACTTTCAAATCTCCGTGATATCTTCAGTGTGACATTAGTGATAACCCTTCAATGAAGGGATTGGCTCCCGCTGCTGTGCTCGCTTCGAGTCTGCTGCTGATCTCTTATAGAGTCTCTGCTCGGTGTTTCAGTTGGTCATCGCTCTACGACGACAGGCTGGAAGGCATCTGCGTCTGTAATGTGACCCACTGCGATTCGATTGTCGGTGACCACTCGAAGCTTAAGATGGGCCAGGTGGGAATTTACACTACATCCAAGGCTGGCGACCGCTTGACGTACATGGTGGCGAACCTCGACAGCCTGCCTGTAGATGAGCCTACCTTTTATATTGATGTCACCACTCAATTCCAGACTATGCTTGGGTTTGGTGGCGCTTTCACGGACGCAGCGGATATCAATCTGTACAAGTTGGCACCGAAACTGCAGGATCTTGCCCTGGACCAGTACTTCTCCAAAGCAGGTTTGCAGTACAATATGGCTCGTGTTCCGATCGGCTCCACGGACTTCTCTACTAGAACCTACACATACAACCAAAAGGCGGACGATTTTGCAATGACTAACTATACCATCGCGTCTGACAAGGCGCCAAACTCAAACAAGATCAATATGATCCATCGCGCTCTGAAAATAGGACCGACATGAAATTGTTTGCGTCTTCGTGGGCACCTCCGCTATGGATGACAAGAGGGGACTCAGTCATCCAAAGCCGGATGAAGGGAAGCCCCGGCGATAGGTACTGGACGGCTCTAGCACTGTACTACTCCAAGTTCTTCGACGCCTACAAGAAAGAAGGAATTGAGTTTTGGGCCATGACAGTTCAAAATGAGCCCAAGAAGCTTCTTATAAACCTTGCTCAGTAGGAAACATTGCGCCTGACTGCCGAAAAAGAGAGGGATTTCATCAAGCTGAACCTTGGCTCGTTGATGGCAAAAAACCACCCGCACATAAAGATCATGGCGAATGATGACCAGAAATCTCGAATTCTGGATCGCTCAGCGCCGTTTGATGATCCCGAGTCCAAGAAATACCTCAGCGGAGTTGCGTTCCACTGGTACCAAAACTTGGATTTTATTCTACCATTCGTTGGTAGCTATAAGAAGCTGAAAAAGTTTTACAAAGCGTATCCTGACATGTTCATGCTTGGAACGGAAGCTTGCGAAGGATATATGCCAGGATTCACTGGTACTGGCAAAGGGCCTGCGTTACACAACCTTGAAAAAGCTTGGAAGCGCGCAGAGAACTACGCACGTGATATTATAGAAAACAGCAACAGTATGGCTGGCGGCTGGGTCGACTGGAATTTGTTCCTCAACACGAACGGAGGCCCGAACTGGGCAAACAACATGGTAGACGCACCAATTCTTGTTGACGCTCAGAATGGTGCCGAGTCTATAAACAGCCAATGTACTATATCATGGGTCATTTCTCCAAGTTTGTGCCGCCGGGATCAAAACGCATCAAGTTTTCAAAGACAAGAACGCTTCATAATTTCCACCATTGTGCATTCGTGACACCAAACAACCAGATCGTGATGCAATTCTTGAATCGTGGTAGCTCAAAGGTGACTATCAGCGTAAAGCAGACGGACCCCAACACAATCACATTAACGCTGTCTCCCCACTCGATACACACGTTGATCCTGCCTGCATCAGAGGACACCAAGATCTTGTAGGCTTGTTACATGTGCATCGTGACAATGACGTGTATTTCGAGGCGGGTTCACATACACAGAATAGAAGCTCCTCGTAAATAACTATTGATATTTCCCATTACAATAGAAGAAATGCTTTGATTGAGCTACTTTTTTTAATTACGATGCAATACAAACTAAATCTTATCATAAGTTGTACCTGAGTATGCAGGACAAATTACAGTAATCGTTTCAATACAGGCTTATAGTGTCGAATTTCCCATTATATATAATGTATCCATGTTTAGGTACACACATCCGGCTTCAAGACATCTGCTCAACAAGAGAAGGGACTAACAGCTGTAAAAAAGGAACATGAACTTCGTCTGGATCTCACGACAAAATACTCCAGAAATACCGAGTGATGTATTTTTTTCAACTTGCCTATTTTTTAACAATAATTACTTCGAAAAATAGTCATCAGCGGAAAAATGCTTCGTAATTCTGCATTAATAAATAGACAAATGGGTAGAGAATAATAGTATACATGTGGACATAATGTAACAGATATCTTCACAATGTTGACATTCTAAAAAAATAACCTTCGAATGCTCGCTCACAATTCTAGAGACTGTGCAAGCTATTGTTAGCCTATAGGGTATTGTTGACAGACCAGGTGAAAAATAACTACAAACAGATGCAAAATAACCACAGACTTTAGCAGCTGCATGGAAAAATCAAAATGGTCTCGCGCTGAAAAAAACTCATTTCCTTATTACCATGCACGCCGTTTCTTCGTACATACTCATGGGTATCGCTCTTACTGGTGCAGCAGATTTCACAGCTATAGCGCATCACATACACCCCTCGCATGTTGTGCGGAGACTGGAGATGGACATGAGCGGCATGGATATGACACCATCGACTTTAATGGAGAAAAAAGCCTCGTCCACTACGTCAGATGATGACTATAAATGCCCTGTATGTGGAATGTCCACTAAGGACATGAACTACGACAACTTGAACCATATTGGCTTTGTTAATGGACAGATTGTCTACACATGCGGCATGGCACCGCGTTCCTTTGACGGTTACAAGATGGACTATACTGACACGGCATATTTGGCCGCCAATATGGCTGAGTTTATCGTAAACATTACGGACATTACGGCCTACGCCGAGTGTGAGAACTCGTGTGAAGCGTGTGGTGATGGCATCAAGGACCCTGTCACAGGTGACAATGTGACCACGTCCAATTACCAATACGTGTGTCTATCGAACGGGCAAAAGCTCTATTTTGCATCCACGACCAGCAAGAACAAGTACTTGACTAATGTCAACTTGGAGCCGCGCTATCTTGTGGACAGCATCATCTGCCACAACAAAACGTGCTTGGACGCCGATAAAATCACCGAGCTTAGCGCCGCGGCAAAGGCATTCGTGCCAGACCTCTTGACTTCAAACAACCGTGGCTCAGCTATTGCCAGCGACTCGAGTGCCGCCGTGTCGGTGAAGGCCCTGGCTAGTCTGACTTTTGTGATTGCGAGCGGGATGGTGGTACTGGCTGCGATGGCTTAGATAGACACTGGAGCTAGTAAACTGATAAATGGACGCATTATACCACTACAAGTTAATTGCCGCATTGACAGCGCCCTTAATCAATATTTGAATTGATTATTCAGGCAATAACCCTTTACAACAATAACAGCGCTTCATGACGAAATTTATCTTGAATCATGAACAAGTGATGCGTACGGTCCCCGTTCCATGATGCCCTTTACAAAACTGCCGAGCACAACGACTGCTTCGCTGGCGGCATTGCTTTTGAGTATTCGATTGGAGAACGCCAACTTCATGTCAGCATCTGCCTGCCTACCCGTCAAGGCGAACGGTTCGTAAAAACCATGGCCTGAAGTATTCTAACTAGAGATTGTACAGACGAAGGCACAAACTGTACGCTCAACCGTTTCCCAAATCTCAAGTTCCTTGTGATGGCGCTGTAACGTATGATGGAAACGAGTGAGCCAACATTGAGAAGTCAAAGGTCCCTTTGAACCATTAAGCACATCCACTTGTTTCCAGCTTTCCGTCATTTTCGTTGGGTACTGACAGCTCGCCGAGTGAAGATTGTCTGGTGTTAGCAGATAGGCTATACAGTGCTCTCTTGCATCGTCAGCTATGTCACCATCAACGGCAAAATACACTTGCAGAGCATGAGCAACACCATTTCCGAAGGATCTACCAAACTCAGCGATGGACAAGAGCACCTAAACGCGATCCACCCAGGAATCAAAAAAATCTAGAGCTCTGGTACCAGCAATGGTGGCCACCACGACAGCTGCACGTATTTGACAGCTTATTGAGATCGATCAAGGTATATACGATTGTATACAACTTGTCCTCACGTTTTTTCCTTTGTTCATCATTACGTGAAGCTCACGCAGTCACTCGGGGTAGTACCTGGGCGTAACATTTTCTTTGGAATGCTTACTTAGAGCAGAATGTTTGCCTTTCGAATTTCTTAGGCGACTTGGACTGCCGCTGGGCGCTGGATAGGGTCCAGATTCATGCATTTTCGTGCGAGGTCTTGCAGATTACGAGGGCTTGGACAAGTGCAACTCGCCAGACGAGATGCCCTGGAGAATGAACATGTCAAAGTGGAGCACCCAGCCGCGACTTAGCGGCTGCAAAAGGTATCCATCTTGGAGAGAATCATACCGAGAAAATTAGACGTCAACAGCCCTCAGTGTATCACGTGCAATTTCAGGAGCAATTCACCTCGTCGTGCCTACGCCCGCTGTCATGTTCATCACTTGACACGCCAAAATCCTCTAGTTTAGCACCCTTCTTGGAGTCCAGCAAAACGTTTCGGGACTTTAGATCACGGTGAATAATAATGAGGCTCAAAGATGTGAAGGTATACAATCGCATCAATGATGTCACGAGCGCATTGCAGTCTCGAACTTTCTTGTCACGATAGCTGCTCGCGGTGCTGTTTAGTACTGGCAAGTGGATTCATCACCCCTACGGTGGCCATTGGAGTAACGCCTTCCTCCACTTTTCCTGTGTCGTTATCTTTTACAATAATAGCAGAATTTTCTGCCGCGTCGACATTCAAACGATACACTCCTTTTCCTTGCAAATAAACTAAGGACCTAGAATTGCACGAAGCTGTCAGAGTGATACATCGCAAGTGACAAGATCGTTGTGTAAAGTATTCTTATCTATGGCAGTAGGTAAAACTACCTACAGTACGTTTAGTTCCTGCAAGCTTTTCAGTGTGCGCATATAGTTCAAAAACATAACTGAGATCAGTACATTTTTCGTACGTACAAAAAATCACATTTTCATCGAGCAATTTTTGAGGTCAATCTATGAAAACTCCCAAGATTGCTAAAATCCCACTTTTTAAATGTGCTGCTTACAAATAACACAATACAGTACACGATGACGATCCATAATTATACAGGTATACCGTATTCCATCTAGCAGCTATACACGCACACGTCGGTGAAGATTGTTGGGATAGATCCTTTAGATGATGTGGAGCGTTTTCATTACCCGTGTAGCTAAACGAATACCGTGGATGATGGGACGATGAAAAAAGACGTTTGCGATGGGGGCAGCGCCATTAGCATCAAGAGTCTAACCGATCCCTTGACAAATGTACTTATTGCGCACTAGTCCATTTCAACTATGCCTAGCACAAGCTGTGTTCAGATTTACAAATCTGATTGCTCGTTATATTATATGGAAAATCGGTTCACTTGCTAAAAGCATTTATCCAACTTATCTTGCTTTGTTTATTGCTTCCTCTAGATCTTGGACGAGCCGACGTAAATAACGTTGCGCGTAAGGCAGAGGTCCACCATTTCCAACAGGGCAGTCTCCAAGTGGCGCTTGAACCCTAAGGCGCTCGTTTCTGGGCACACATGGTAGCAAGTGATGCTCATGTTAATGCGGTCCGGCTGTAGCGCGTAGCAGACGCCATAGCCCTCGTTATACATGGCCGAGAAGCCACCCCAAATAGGGCTAGCGCCAGGACCGCCACTGATGTTGCTCGTAGACACCAGAAACTTCTTGCTCAACTCAAATGCTCTATCCGTAAATAGCGAAGGCTTTGGCGTGATACCCGACATCTCCGCCACAATTTGAAGTCCCATGAGGTGGCGGTCGATGCCGTCTCCGGTCAGGCATTTCTTTATCGTCTCCTTGTGAGTGTCGATAGCTGTGCGCAGCGCGTCCCACTTCGTTCCATCAGATGCACTCGATTCCATCGTCTTCACGAAAGCAAGAGACTCTTTTGAAAGCGAACGAATCGTTTCCGTCCGACCGTGATAATATATTCTCGTGTGAGCCGTCTCATAGACAGCAGGAACTCTCTTGTGCATCTTGTAGTGTGCCAACTGAATTGCCATCTGCATAAAGAAGTCCGGTGTCAGCTTGTAGCGTTTAAGAAAGGCTGATCCGTAGTGGTTAAATTGAATCGTCGCAATATCGCTGTTGTGGATCAGCTTCCCAACTGCAGCGCTGGCGCATTCAATGGCTGTGTAGGCAGCGTTATCTAGCACCCAGTCTAGCCGCTTTGGTTTTAGGTTCAAAGTAGGTTTCAAGTCCGCGCGGTTGGCAAACTTGGCCTTGAAGTTCTCATTCACGTACTTGATGCAGTAGTCAAACAGGCGAACGACCACAAGTGCATCTGCCCACGCGTGCTGGCCGTTCACACCACCACGACCATTCTCGTGTATAATTAGCGTAAATGGCTTGTCGTACCAGCGATTGCGACCATCTCCAAGCAAGCAATTGCGCGCAATCTCGTCGTAAGTTGACGCAGAACTTTCGTCCAGAGCAATGCAAAACAGTGCCCGCTCAATCAGATCAAATGACTGCTTGTTAATATCGTCGAGCGACAAAATGTGATCCCGAGCCTACAATCATGTTGACAATATAAGTCCAATGTATCTTACCTGCTCTATTTTCTATCAAGAGATTGCAAGTGCTGTACCTTGGCCCAATTTGTTCGATTCTCCGAGGTCAGGACGCTGACGGGTGGATAACGTTCCAAGTCAAACAGTCCTGTAGCTTCATCTCGTACCAGCTCGAATTGTCTGCAGCACAAAAAATTTACGTAGCAATCAATCAGCTTGTCTTTCTAATTCTCACAATGAATTGCGCTGCATCTTGTACCTCACAACGTCTGCAAGTGGGATCTCCTCTCCCTTATCATTAATCACTTGTATGACCCACATGCAATTGTTCCGCAACACGAGAATATGTTTTGAGTCGTGTGGATAAGACACCATTTCATCACATTCTTCTCCTGGGATCACACACGTGTTGAACATACGCGAGTACGTAAACATACATAACGGACGTCCCATCATCTTTTCCGGCGGATACTTCTCCCTAACATACTCATCAAGTCAATCATATAATATCAACTACTTAGCAGCTACATCATACGTACTCCAGCAGATTCTTCCGAAACTTTAGAATAGCGTGAGTAAAGATAGACGCCGCTTCACATTGACTCATGTCTCGTGGCCCCCAATTACCGGGCAGGACGCCGTACCAATTGATGTTAATCGCTGATGGATATCGTGGTTGCATGTACGCAAAAGTCTCCCACCATTCCTCAATCCAGTTTCGTTCCGAGTCAGCTCGTTCCTGCAGAATTGCCTGCAGCTGTGGCCCCACACCGTGAAGAAAGTCGTGGCATACGGCCTTTGTGTGCTCCAGCTCACTAGGCGTTAGCAGTGGCTCACAGCTCTGTATATACTGCTCTAGAGTCTGCTCTAGCGGTGGTAATGGCAGTGACGGCAGCTCGTCCTGGTACTGCATCGTGCGCTCCGACTGTTTCGACATGGCTACACTTGTGCAAAGGAGGTAAAAAGCTATAATGTCGAAATCTTGATGAAAAGGCCTAAGTCGAAACCCGCGATAAAAGATAGAGGAACCCACGGGTCACACGGATGTGATTTCACGTCTGCATAACAAAAATAGACCTAACGTGATGTCAACTTCAACAGTCTTTTCAAACATAAATGACACTGTAAAATGATTATCTGTTTAATGCTACTTCACATAACCATATTGATCGTCTTTTTTATGCTACTTCACATAACCATATTGAGTTAATACGTGGTGTCAAGCTTGTAATACTGGCTCCCGTTGCAACGTATGACAATTTAGAGGGGTAGCAATATGATGAGAAATACAGGGAGAGTTGAGGTGATAATGATTGATGAAAGGCGATTGTAAATAAAGTCGCTCAGGTGCCGCGTGGCTTACGTGCCCGGCTAGTGGCTTGATGTTGGTGGTATCTGGAGTAGCTCGAACAAATATGATTCTGGGTGAAAATATCTGAGCGATGAGCAGCGGCACAATGAATGCCACATGCTGATGAGCAAGAGCGAGGGGCGAGCTGGCTGAGACAAGCAACTTGCAGTCAAGCGACAAGGTCTGGAGTTGGCCGAAGCCTTTCGGTGGTGCGGGAGGCATTAGAGCATGCTGCTTGCACAACTGGCTGTGGCCGAGACGAAAGGGCCAAAATGCCAGTGTGCTAATCAGTTTTTCGTCATGCTGCGGTGTAAGGGTGGACATCAGGTGGCATATAACGTGTGGCTATATTAGCGTTGCTGGAAGTGTTTGCAGACGAGCGAAGCATCCGTTTGAACACTTGCCACAACGCTAGCAGCAGTACAAGAGACGGTAAGCATGAGTCTCATAAAGTATTTAGTGCAGTTGCACGAGAGAAAAGGAGCTTATCCCTAAGAATAACCTTTCTTGATTGTCTACATTCCTTTATCCTGTAGAGGATCACGAATTACGTCAGTGATGTGTGTGTCGTGAAAAGGACAACTTGCATGGACAGTGTTCTTCGAATGATCTGGATTGTGTGATCAGATTATGAAGGGTTTATACATTTACTTTAGTAGTAGTTTAACTCTTAATACTACTTTTCATTTGGCAGCACAGTGAAGTAGTTGAGCTATCGTTACAGGTTATGAGCCCAAATACGTTGGCTCCTAATGACATCCTTACGGATGACAATTACTTCATGTGGGAATTTAATGCACGCATGACACTCGCGCGCAAGGATCTTTTGGATCACGTTTTGATTAAGCCAGAGCCGGCAGTGCTGCGGGAGAATACCGGATGGAAAGTCGCCAATATGAAGGCTCTGGCTGTACTGGTGAAGCTACTCTCTCCAACCTATCAGTGCATGGTTCGGGAATGTGAGTCTGCGTTTGAAGCTTGAGAGGTTCTGAAGACGTTCTTTGCGAAGAAAAATCTTCACAACCGAGTGCAACTTCGGAAAAAATTACATGAATTTGTGATGGAGACTGGTGCGAGTCTTATGGACCATCTACTAAAATTTGATGAGCTGTGTCTCAAGCTCGGAGCTGCCGGTGACAGCATGGATGATGATGAAAAGCTAGTTTTGCTTTTGGGAAGTTTATCATCCGAATATGATGATATGGTGCGCATCATTGAGGCGCACAGCAACGTGACGCTGTTAGACGCAAAAGAGATGCTCCGCCGGGAGTATGACACTCTTCAGAAGCGAGACAAGAAGGAAACCGCTTTTAAGGCACACGCTCAACGTAATGAACCTCGACGCTTTCAAAGTAACCGAGGACACCGTGGTCAAGAAGAAAATCGAGATCGCTACCAAACTTCGAGGAAAGGAAAAGCTTATGCGAGTTTTCAAGGCAAATGCTTTGCGTGTGGCCGGCATGGACACAAGAGATCGCAGTGTCGTAACGTGAAACCATCGAGACCTGGTGATGAATTCGTTTTTTCGGCATTCAGTGAAGAACCAATTTCGAATTCAACTTGGTTGCTGGATAGTGGGGCAAGTCGTCATATGACTGATGACAAGCGTGAATTTGTGGAATACGAAGATTTAAGTACCCCAATTTACATCACTGTGGCAAATGGACATCAGTTGAAGGCGCAAGGAACAGGCAAAGTTCGATTTATACTCGAAAATGGTCGTACAGTCAAACTTACGGAGGTGTTGTATGTGCCTGGGCTAGACAAGAAACTTGTGTCTGTAGCAGCGTTGACGGCCCGAGGCGTGCTTGTTCAGTTCAAGCGTGATCAAGCAGTTTTGATAAGTGACGACGTGACTGTAGCAGTAATTAAACGAGTGGGAAAGCTGTTTGCGTGGAATGTAAAACAACATATCACGTTAGAGGCACACAAGGCTGAGAGCAGTGGTGCGATAAATGACACTAGTGAACTGTGGCATGCTCGCCTCGGTCATGTGTCTACGAAAAAGATTATGCAAGCGATGAAGTCTTGCGATGGTATTTCGAGAGTTGTCGCATCTGATGGCGGTGTATGTGATGGATGTGCACGCGGAAAAATGACAAACAGCCCGTTCAGTCATACTTCAGGAAGTGAAGTTAAAACAAGTCGACCACTTGAGGTTGTACACACCGATCTTATGGGACCTATGAACCCGAAGTCGAAAGGTGGGGCTCTATATGTACTCACATTTATCGACGACTACAGTCGATTTGTCTACGTATATTTGCTAGCAGCAAAGTCCCAAGTTTTTGAGCGATTTAAGGCGTTTTGTGCTATGGTGGAGAAGCAAACGGATTGCAAAATTAAATGCATCCGTAGTGACAATGGTGGAGAGTATACAAATCATCGCTTTAACAAGTACTGTGCAGATCTAGGGATTATCCACCAGAGGAGCGTGCCGTACAATCCTCAACAAAACGGCTTAGCAGAAAGGATGAATCGAACTCTTGTTGAGATGGCCCGATCAATGATATATCACATGGGAGTTGATCGTTCTTGGTGGGGTGAGGCGATTATGGCGGCTGCTTACACCATCAATCGAATTCCTAATACTGCGCGACCCAACGTTAGTCCATTTGAAACTCTGTATGGGTCGAAGCCAGACTTAAGTCATTTCCGTGTCTTTGGTTCGACTGGTTATCTACGAGTCGCGGATTGCAAGCGCACTAAATGGGACAGCAAGGCAAACAAGTGTATTTTTCTCGGGTATTTGGAAAATTCAAAGGCGTACCGAGTGTGGGATATTGCGAGAGGACAATTGGTTACGACTAGGTCCGTTACGCTAAACGAGAGTCCTCCTTCGCGGTACAAAGATGTTGTTTTTTTAGGTGAACCTTTAGCTCAATGCAATCATTATCATGATGATTTAGACGAAGTAAAGGTGGAAGTACCTGATTTGAACAAGAATAACGAGGATGACGAAATGGACGTTGATGAAACTGCTGACAATGATACTAGTTGGGAAGACATGGTTGTGGATGCGTCTGGAGATCTCAATCAGTCACAAAACTTAGATGTTGTTCCGATTGAGGGGGAGCGCACAGACATACAAGTCATTGACACAAACAATTCGATGATACGTCGTACTTCACACGGATCGGTCGCTGGAAGTAGCAATTATGGTACACACATGCTCTCAGGAATACCTGATCAGTCGCGAGCTATTATAGTTTGTGAGAATTCCCGTGCCCCAGATGATCGAATGGAGATATACTCAGGGTCGAACAAAAGACCTTATAGTACATTCACGTCATCTCGTCTACTCACGAATGATGATTTTGACGATGAGAGGATTGATCTACCGCTTTTAACTGATGGATCACCTGTCGATGGCGAAAATGATGAGCCGGACCCTAAACGTCAATGTGTTGACGATTACGAAATATCGCTTTCTGCTACTGATGTACCAATAAATTTACGAGAGGCGTTACAGTCGATGGACGCAGAAAAATGGAAGGCAGCAATTCAAGCAGAAATTAATGCTCATCTTAAAAACCACACATGGGATGCTGTCAATCGTCCTCCAGGTGTCAAGGTCATTGGTCACAAGTGGGTATTTGGTTACAAGTACGATGAAAACGGTCAAATTGTTCGTTACAAAGCACGCTTGGTTGCCCTCGGATATCTGCAAACGCATGGTTTTGATTACTTCGACACATATTCACCTGAAGCATGCTCAAACACGATTCGTGTATTTTTGTCTGTTTGTTGCAGTATGCAATATGTAATTCGACAATTTGACGTGGAAACAGCGTTTTTGAATGGTGATTTGGAAGAAGACGTTTACATGGAGGCACCATATGGAATTGAAATTGCACCTGGAATGGTGTGCAAATTACGACGCAGCTTATATGGATTAAAACAAGCGGCTGCGGTTTGGCACAAGAAAACATGCTCTGTGTTTTCGGCCATGGGCTTCGAACAATGTCGAGCAGACACATGTCTTTTTGTTCGACGCAATAATGCAAAAAATAAGTCACCCACATACATAGTCTTGTATGTGGACGACCTCCTTATTGGATGCAAGTCAGATGCAGAGGCGGACACGATTTATAAGGAATTGTCAGAACATTTTACTGTCAAGTCACTTGGAGCTGCGCGGTTTATTTTGGGCATGGAAGTTAACTGCTCACAAGAAAAGGGGGAGTTGGTGTTGAAACAGTCCCAATTTATTATGAAGGTGGTCTCGAAGTTTAAGCAAAATGAAGCTTATGCAGTTCGCAACCCTATCTGCGCAGGACAGGACCTAACTCCGGATGAATCACACCCAGTGGTTAAAGACATTACTTCGTATCGCAAATTGGTCGGCTCGCTGCTGTATATTTCGAATGCAACGCGACCGGACATAAGCTACGCGATGTCAGTATTATCGCAGTACTTGGACCAGCCACGACAGAGGCACTGGCGAGCGGCTTTACGTGTTTTACACTATCTCATGGGAACAAAATCGCACGGAATTAAGTATAACAAATCGGACGACAAAAAGATGATGCTTTGGGCATACTGTGACGCGAATTGGGGAAATGATAAGAAACTCGTCGATCTACGTCTGGAGTGTTGATTTTACTCGGAGGTGCAGCTGTCGTATACAAAAGCAAACGCCAAAGTTCGGTGGCTTTATCCTCTGCTGAAGCGGAATATATGGCACTGGCACTAGCTACGCAAGAAGTTATGTGGATTCGTTATTTGCTGAAAGAGATGGGTGTCACATGTAAGACTGCGACTACAGTGCACATGGACAACAAGTCGGCTATAAGTATTGCGACGAATCAGGGATATACTCCAAGAGCTAAGCACATTGACCTTAAGATGCATTTTGTTCGAGACCACATTGAGCAAGGTGATATCCAGCTCAAACATGTTCCGTCAGCTATGCAGCTTGCTGATTACCTGACGAAGCCGCTTGGTGCTCCACAATTGATGCGACTACGCGATGAAACTGGAATTCGCGAGAGTGCAAGTTGAAGGGGAGTGTAGAGGATCACGAATTACGTCAGTGATGTGTGTGTCGTGAAAAGGACAACTTGCATGGACAGTGTTCTTCGAATGATCTGGATTGTGTGATCAGTTTATGAAGGGTTTATACATTTACTTTAGTAGTAGTTTAACTCTTAATACTACTTTTCATTTGGCAGCACAGTGAAGTAGTTGAGCTATCGTTACAAATCCGACTCATTAAAACCCAAGCGCTTGGCTGTCTTCATTACAGTGACATTGCGAGCCGGTAATTACCATCGCAGAGCCACCCCATTGTCAATGTCCTCTGTGCTGGCCAAGCTTGTTTCCATAACTTTTCCGCTCAATGCCATCTTGAGCCCTCGATTTCCTAACACCTCTTCGCTAGACAGAGTTTTAGTCGGATATCAAGCATGGAGTCGTCGCGTGCTTTGAGATGACCTTAATTTTGATCCACTAAATTAAACTGATACGTCCATCAAAACAATTCGCTGTAAACGGAAATGGACACGGCAAAGTGCAATTTGTGTCATCACAGGTCAGCCGCTTCTGGTAGCTGATACATCATCATTTAGCACGGCCTGTTTTTGAGAGGCTTCTTATAAACCGTTTTTTCTTGTTTCTTTGGTCGAGAGCTCATGCGCCTGATATATGCATCTGCCGCAACATTTCGATGCCTATGCAAATTGACAATCATAGAGTAGCATACGGATTCGTCTTCGACATTGGCCACAGAGCTACTGTATATAAATTGGAAATATACCACACAAGTCCGTTTTCGACAGTGACTTTGTATAGAATACATTTGAAGGAAGCAAGTCAAACCGGCGTTATTTAGACGCTGAGTTGCAGACTCTGGGTGACGCCCAATTATACGTTAGCTTGCAAAAGTGCGTAATAGGAGACCCCGAGATACATGTGCCTGGGCTGCATCGTAGGTACACATGGTGTACGATCAGACCCAGAAAAGGTAAAGGCTATCAAGGAATGGCCAGTCCCACGACACGTGAAGGATCTGTTGGCAAGTAAGCTTGTTGCAGTAAGAGGACGATAAGATTCTGTATAATCTTTTTTTCTTTTTTCTACTGTCTCCTTGCCACTCTTTCTCCAAACAATCTGTGCTTCAACCATCTCGATAAAGATGGTTGCTAGTCAACTTGTCTACTACCCACTTGCACTGACCATCCATGATCAGATGACGGCTGGCACTAATCGCAACTCACGATCTTCAACCTCAACTTCTATCACTCCTCCTCGATTGCGCCTCATATCTTCTCTATATCAATCCTCCAACGTCTTTGTCTTTCCTTAGTGTCCTTGACATCCTTCTAGATTAAGCTCCTCCCGCGCGCCTCCACCATGTCGCGCACTATGACGCAGCCATCTCGCTCGTTCTCGCTCTCCAGTATTTCATCCGCGTCGCGATCTTACTAAAGCCGCATCAAGCTGCGCAGCGTCGCCAGCTTAGCTGCGCCGAGGGCCTTTGTCATAAGGTCCGCGATCATCAGCTCAGACCGAACGCGCGTCGAGCGAGATCGCACAAATACTTGTGCCGTACGTCGATGAGCTTGGACTTGATCGAAGAGGCTTCGCCTTAGATCTGGCTGATGGTTGCCTGATTGTCCACGTAGGAACAACCGGCGCCATTTCCACCTCCTCGAGCATTCAATGCAAGCCAATGAGCTCACGAGCGACCTCCGACGCCGCGACGAACTCATCCTCCATCGTCGAGAGGCTCACACCGCCTTGTTTCTTCGCGGTCCACGAACATTGAGGTGCACCACGCCTTCCGTTAGCGAATTCCTGTCCGCTTTGTTGTCTTTATAGACAGAATTAGCAAGATGGCAATGTAGCACAAAGATTTCAGGAAAAGAGGCTGCCCTCTTATTTCTGGATCATTTGTATCGACTACACGGAATGCTCGAATCCATTGTATCGGATCGGGATCCGCGTTTTACGTCAGGGATTTGGCGTCATGTGTTTGAGCTGCTGGGAAGCAAGCTCCACATGTCGACAGTCGATCATTCCAGACCGATGGACAAACGGAACGAGCCAATCGAGTTGTGGCGGATGTGTTGCGCACAATAGCGACTCCTAAAGAATGGAGCAAGAAATTGCCATTCGTGGAGTTTGCTATTAATGACAATGTTCACGCCAGTACGGGTGAAATATTGTTTTATAGAAACGGACTGCGTCACCCTCGGACGCCAGTCTCGTTTGTGCGCAGCCCATGTCTTAGTGGGGGAGGGCCCCTTACTTCGCTCGGTGCGAATGCCAAAGAGGGTTAAAATTGCCCTAGTGACACTGCTAATTTAGCAGTGGTCACGGCATCTATAGGTGTCACAGAGGAGGAAAGGCAAGAAATGCCTGTGCTCCTTGACGATAATACTATCGTGTTATTAACAGCGTCAACCCATGAAAGACCACTTGGAGGCTTCATAGGCGAGATGGATGCTAAAAGCGTGACCGAAGCTCAGCGCTTCGTATATGAGCGATTAGCCATCACACGTAAAGTCCGTGACGCAATGACAAGTGCACAGGACAAGCAACAACAATATGCAGACCAGCATGGTCGCAAAAACAATGAACACTTTGGTTTTGGGGACAAAGAGCTATTAAGTACTGCTACCCTACCTAAACATGCAATTTCTGTACTACCTGGCGGTACTACTAAGCTGTTGTCCCGATTCATTGGGCCATTTACAGTGGTTGAAGAAGTTGGAGGCCTAAATTATAGGCTCACTCTCTCACCGTATATAAAAACGCACCCCGTATTTTACGTGGGTCGTCTGAAACGGTATGTTGATCCAGAAGAGATCACATATCCACATCGGTCTAACGAGACCGATGGTGACGTCGACTGTGAGTCGAGCGTCGTTGCCGATCAGGCGACTGAGGAAGGGGAACGACTTTCCGTATACGAGACAGATGACAGAGGACTTAGTGATCAAGGAGATCTCCGCGTTTGACGCGGGTCTCTCCTCAACACTAGCTCCAAAATGTCTAAGCGAAGTTTTAGGGTGTCATACCCCTGACGATCTTTCGTTCTCACTTCTCGTAAATCCGATGTCAGTCGCTTGACTTGACAGATCAGCCACCTCTTTCTTCAGCGCAGCGATCTCCGCCTGCGACTGAACGACAACATGATAGGCAGCCGCGAATAGTTGGGCTTAATCGCCGCTCCTATAGGTCGCCACCTGTGCTGGTGGATTCCGGTGGGAATACACGCTTCCTTGTTGGAAGGTTGTTGAACCACCTCCATGCGAAGCAAAAGTTTCATATCCTTGTCCAGTGGAAGGTATACCCGAAGATCTTCGACTCTTTGGAAACGGTTAACGCGTTGCGTGACGACGTGCCTGGGCTGGTGACTGCTTACGAGCAGAAGCACCAGCTGCACTCGCTCTACTAGATCCTATTGGACTAGTAGGGGCAGAATTGCGAGAAGGAGTTGGGGGTATGTTATCACCCAATATTCCCTCGCACGCGTCATTGCGAATCTGACTCGCTGTGACTGCTGTTTCACTGCATCTGCATGCGGTTTAACACGGCGCAGTAACTCTGCCTTGTATTCGTCAATTGCCTCTTAGAACGCAACACGACGGGGATAGGGAAAGCACGAGCTAGTGCTTTACCCTGTTCTTTTTTCATGATGGAAAGAAAGGCGCTAAAAAGTTTATTAGCGTTAATAGTTTCACGCTTTAGGAGCGTCGCACTATTACCATACGAGTGTGACCACTCAGATGGCGGTGGCATTGGTGGCAATCCACCACTCATGTAGCCGCCCTCGCGACGGCGTGCTAGTGAGGCCGACTGTGAAGTCAAAGGAGCTTTTTGCTCACCCTCGCCTGATTCTGAATCTCTAATATGTATTGTCAAGACGTCAGACGTAAGTTAAATCACCGACCTGCTGTTGAGTCTCAGCTGTTTATTTCGAAGCAGCGCGCTTAGTTGTGGTCGCTGCGCTTAGTTGTGGTCGCTACGCTCGATAGTGCAGACGATATGATATGACTCTCGATGTCAGGAATCATGGAAGCTTCCTGCAGGTTGGGTGTCTCAAATGATGAGGACATATGTACCATCGATGCACTATGCTCATCATTACTTGGAGGTGATGGCAATGTTGTGTTCTCATTGTAGTCAACAATGAGAGACAAGTCTTCATTCGCACTTGGTGGGAAAGATTAGTCTTCTCTGATGACAACTTGACAGTAGATGTCGGCATTGTCACAGAGAAACTTAGCGACGGCTTCGAGTTATCGCGGCGCGTGCGCTATGTCCTGGTATGCATGAGCGCCTTTGCAGGCGACCTATCAGCCTAACCACGTATCGATGGCATCTTTTTGCTTTCGATGTTTTACAAAAATGTAAAAAGCGTCTTAAAGAGGGAGATGGTGTAGCGGGCTAATAGTTACACGGTTCGTTAAGTATTAAATACTTAACGGGAAGGTCTAAAGGGTACGTGGTACCTTAGACCTGTCACTTGGGTGAGCCACATCAATATGGCC